CTAAGTGGAACTACACTCCCAAGTAGATGTTCGTACAGAAAAATGGGGACCAACGCATCACTGAGTCTGCACCTCAAACAAATGGTTCCATTATGGTTAAACCATCAAACATATTAAGAAATGTGGATTAAAAAAACTGTTGGCACATAAAAGTTGGCCAAAAGTTGGGATTTAATATGTCAATCCATTTCTTGTTTTTCAAATGTGTATTCTACTAAAAAACAAAAAAACAGTTGCTATGGAGCACAGAAATCTGGGCCAAAACAACAACTGACACAGCGGCTATGCCCAACGGAAAATCATGATCGACCAGTGGGCTCTGTTTGTTTAACAAACCCCTGTCCAACCAATGGATGTAGCCACGATGAAGCATGCTGATCTTACTAATTTCCAGGCTTGCTGATTGGCTAAAACCGATGTTTTTCGCAGTAAGTACCATGTTTAGAGGATTCATTCTACTATAATTTGATATAACTTTCTCCAAAATCCATATGTGTTTGCCGTTTCATAGGTACGTTCCATATCCCTCATGTTGGGCAAACTCCTCGTGAACGTAAGTCACTCCCCTTTCTTGGTGGATGACCGAATTCAAAAACGGGGGTTTCCTACGTCATGGGGGTACCACCAAATGGATGGTTTATAATGGAACATACCATCAGAAAAGGGATGACTTGGGGGTACCATGACTTAGGAAATCTCCAAATAGGTGAACTTTAGCAGCCACATCCAGCCACTTAAAGCTTATCGTGGGCTGTTTCTCCAACACATCTTCAGCCATGCATCCATGACCAGCGCAGGCTGCTGGGTCCTACCTTGCGTCGAGCTGAGACGCATGGGACGTTTACAGATTCGCTCAACGTTTGGTATGCTATATGACTCTATAGATGGACTTATATATATATATATGTATATAACTTATAACTGTTAGTACTATACTATACACTATATTATCCAATATTGGAGTACTATATGGCTTTATATACTATACTATATACTATATACTATACTACTATCTACTCGTCCAATATTGGAGTACCCAATTTTGACCGACGGTGAAAACATGTGAAAACATGAGGTGATCCAAGGAGAACCCCTGCATCTGTGGAAATCCTGAAAGACTGTTTAACACGAGAATAGGCGAAAAACATGGCTTAACCACCAATCTACTGAGATTGGTTTGTGGTTGAGTCATGTTGAGTCAGGCTAAAGTCCCAAGGAGGTTCATCCCACCAATCAGATTGCGGTTCATCACCTGGTGATCGCATGTCCGCTTTCTTCGTTTGACCATGATGACCGTGCCATGTTTGTGAAAAATGGTGAACTCTTTGCCCAGTTCAACCAGGCAACCAGCCCCCAGCCACTCGTAGGATGAGCACTGTCAGCCATAAGCGTTTGACCCATAGATTTGAATTACCCTCTGGTTATTTAACATAACCATGGAAAATGGCCCATTTATAGATGGTTTACCTGGGTTTACCTATTAAAAATGGTGATTTTCCATGGCTATGTTAAATAACCAGAGGGTAGCTGTAGGATTCTTTGTGGCAACACAAGAAAGCTGAGCCTCAACATCTTCTGCAGAATTTGATGGCGTGAAAATGATGACAAGAATGCATAGTCGCAAACGTGGGGTCCCCGAATTACATAGCTAAGTTGGTGCAAATAACTCCAATAACCATGAGTTATGGTACTTATAACGAGTAGCCATGGGGATTATAAAGCAACTTATAAGTGGGGGGGGCACACATTGGAAAGGCTGGAGCCCCGTTTCAAGTCACCCTGTGTTCTGAGGTGCTCTAAAAATCTGTTGACCAGGGTGCTCTCCGGGACCAAAAAAAATGCAGCCCCAACAAAACAAGAAGTCATATGACAAGAAGTGGTAAAGCACGGGACACCCAAAGCAGGTAAATCCTCTCTTTTTGGGCATTGTCCATCGAAGTGGTAAGTCAGTAAGTCATTGGATAAAAGTGGGATGGACTATCGCGTTTAAGGTCTACAATATTGCCTTTCTAGATCTTGATTTAAACTCAGTCTGTGAAGCAACATAGCCTTATGTAATTAATCATTCCCTATATATATATATACATATATTATCTATCTTGGATTTATATATATAATATTATATCATATATAATTATATTATACATATAAAAATAATAATAATAATAGGAATAATACTAATAATAATAACAATAATAATAATCATAATAATAATAATAAAAATAATAAAAATAAAAATAATAATAATAATAATAATAATAAAAATAATAATAATAATATATATATATATTTGGTTGTTGGATGTTGTTGGTGTATCCCATTTAACCTGCATTACTACATACCCCATCTATATATTCAGTAGCTGAATTAGGAATCCGCAATTCGTGTTTTTCACTGGCCAACGGGACCATCTTGGGATAATCTTCCATTCCTTTCCCCACAAAAAAAACGCGCGAAATCCCATGACATCTCCGTTTGACATGATGTTCTAATCATGTAAAAAAAAAACTGGTGGTATTCGGATGATGAAGTCCTATACATGTTTGATGGTTGAATCAGATTGATCCCCCGATTGATACTTCAAGCCAAGGTCAACCTTGGTAGTCCACAAAAGACATATCGTCTTTTGCTGCTTATGGTTATTTTCCATTTCTAGCGCAAAGAAAAACTAAAGGATCAAACAACCTACGATATCCAGTTGGTTGAGGATGCTTATCAATCACTATTCATTACTGTTAATCACTATTAATCACTATTAATCACCATGAATCACTGGGGATGGTTCGCCCCATACTTAGATGGGCCATGGGAAAAACGCGATTCCTGGTTAGTAACTGGGGGTTTGTTACCCCCAAAAATCCCAATTATACTCCACTTATTAACTACAGGATGGTGCCCCCCAGTTATAAGTTGGTTTATAAGCCCATTAACTATAGATATATCACCTAAAAACCATAGTTATGGGAGTTGTAAACCAACTTAGCTAACTATGGGGCACCACCTTGTAACTCCATGGCCCATCTAAGTAGATTTCTCCACCTTAGCACCCGCCCAGGGCGCCGGGGCCCGCCGGGGCCCAGGCGCGCCGGAAGCCACCGGGCACAACGCGGTCCCCGTGGATCGCAGCCCGGAGTCGCTCGCCCGGTCTTTGGAGCCAACGGAAGGATCGACGGTGTCATTGGAGGGGAAATCATGTGTAAACCCACTATGTATATATATATATAGTGATAATAATAAAAACAATAATAATAGTTATGATAATCAATATATATATATATATGTAATGTTGTCAAATGTTGTTCCCCTTTATATTTTTGTTCCCAGTCCTTTTCGGTCAATTATAGGGAAACTTGCTGGCTTGAGACCTGCAAAAAGAAATGATCTGAATCCGATTCTGAACTGATTTTGTGAGCCCATCGTTTACTTGTAGATGCATACGGACATATCCGCCAATCACCAAATCCGAAGAGGTCTGAGTTTTGCTCCATTTTTGCTCCATTGATCCCATAAGATCCCACATTCGATACGCCCCACTGGAACGCCTGGTTATTGGATCAGATCTATTTGGGCTCCAATAGGATATTTAAATCTTGGGTGGATTGCTTAGCAGCCAAACATGAGGAAAAACCCTTTTCGAAAGGGCAAGTCAGGTGAATGCAGGAGTCATTCAACATGCCACTGGTTCACACATCCTGGAAACACTACATACCTGTGGTCGTGTTCATCAATCATCACTAAAAGGCCTGGGTTTTTGGGTTTTGGAATGTTTTGGAGATAACAAAAACATCATGTTGCCGGGAAAGTCAACTCGTAGCTCCGATATTCAGAAAGGGATTCAGCCCGTCAAAGGTGAACCCCCCAAGGCGTCCTTTTTGGCTGGTGGCCGGTGGATACGCCAACCCTGCCAGTATCATGTTGGACCCAGCATAACTATTCTGGTTGGTGGTTTGGTTTTTAACCATCTTGAAAATATTAGTCAATGGGAAGAATTATCCCATATATTATATAAAATAAAACATGTTTGAAACCACCAACCAGTATTGCTTGTTACACTATGTTACACTGTTACAGTTGAATTCCACAGGTCGATAAACATCACTATCGACGCCCAACCCAGAGTGCATTATCTTTTCCGGGCACAACAGAAACCCCCACTCCGCACAAACTCCCAACGCGAATTTCACAAAGTGACACAAACGAATGCGACAGACATTTGAGCAGTGTCAACGAAACAGGTGGCTGGTCGTCGCATGTTGTCGCTGTATCCTAGTTGTGTTGGTTAAAGGGATTTCCCATAATGGATTGAGATAATCCTCAACATATTGGATAGTATAGTCCCCGAACAAATCATCAATCAACCATCATTGATCAATAACATCCCTATTGTGATGGTTGCATCATGCATCCTCATTAAAGAACTAACCAACAGGGGTTTGGAACTAACCAACAAAGTGTATTCCAGGTGTGGAGTCGGAATTCATTCGAGGTTCATCCGCTGCAAGCCCAGGGCCACACAAAAGTGGGTTCCAAGAAAGGAAGGTAATAACTAAACAAAATAGCGTTTTATATAACCATTCAATAGTGGGATAATATAGGATGTGGCTGATATGATAACGCACTGGGTTTGTCTGTTTTATGTTGTTTTTCTTCGGAAAAAATAAAGTAAAACACAATGATAGATTTAGAACCTTATCTTCCAATTAAATAGGCCTTCATTGGGGGTTGATAGACTCACATTCACAATCAAACCTGGAGGATGGAGTATGCACTGCTACTTTGACACTGTTCAAACGGAACCGATCTTTGGTGCTGCATGCGCTCCTTCTGTGTGTGGTAGCAAGGGACATTCAATAACATGGCTACACTGCCAAACAAATATTGACATGAACATAAATAGAATACGAAACTTTGAAACTACCCTCTGGTAAATTAACATAACTATGGAAAATCACCATTTTCAATGGGTCAATCCACTATAAATGGCCATTTTCAATAGCTATGTTTGTTTACCAGAGGGTACCCAGTTGGTTTTCAAAGAAGCCAGCATTAACACAACCAGCGCCTTACTTGGCAAATTGCCCCGCCTGGCGGTGAAAACGTGGGATCAACGAAACATGAAAATCCCTTGTGAAAATCCCTTGTGACATAGAGATGATATAATGGAATGTATATCTGGTTGGTACTATCCCATATACAGCCATAGAAATTGGGAATATCCCTTGAATTTTAGCCTTTCGCCCAGAAGAATGCTAGTGAACTAGTTGGTTGGTGGTTTTAACCATCTTGAAAAATATGAAAGTCAATGGCAAGGATGACATCCCATATATGAAATTGAAAATAAAAAATGATTGAAACCAGCAACCATATGTAATATATGAACAATATGATATCAGTATATTACCAGTATACGTATGTATATATATAATATTAAATGATATAACAAATATATATATATATAGTATATTATTAAAAACAATATATATATATATATATTAGATACATATAATATATATATATATATATACATCATATATATTATATACTATATATATATTACATTATATATAAATATAAATACATCATATATATATAATAAGTATTCAATATGTTATTAAATATATATATATAGTTACGGACACGCAGTCAAAACGCTCGGGTATGGATTTTTTTGCACACTTAGAACCTCCCCAGGTTCCAAGTGCGAGTCCGGCTATGTTAGATGGGGTTCTAAGTGTGAAGTCCCCCAACCATCTGCCTCATAGCCTATCACTCCTATAACCTGGCAAAAATATATAGCATGATATGTTCAACATAACTACGATTAAAAAACACACTATAATTGATATAGTGTGGAACAAATCACATTCTTTTACTGCTAGGCGGAGCAGCGAACACTATATAAAAAACCCTTGGTGCTCTTGGCCATCTAGCATTCCCACTCAGAGGCGGAATCCATCACCACTAGCCGACTGGTGCACGTACAACACAAAGCCACGTTCACAAAAATACAACCCTTATCAAGGAACATGTTGGCACTCCAATCTGGGAATACTCGATCAGTGTAGGTTATGATTTAGGAGGCTTTTAGTGTGCAAGTCTGCATCTATCTGCCTGGTTCCCTGCCGTCCCGTGCGCATACGCAACATCTAATCTGATCTATCAAACCCTTATGAAGAAACATATTGAAACACCAACCTGAGAAGATTCTATCAGTGTAGGTTGTGATTTAAGAGGTTCTAAGTGCGAAAGTCTCCACCTATTTTCATGGTTCCCTGCCATCCCGTGCGCACAGGCAACATACCTAATCCATAATCTGATCTATAAAAACCTTATTAAGGAACATGGTGTCACTCCAATCTGGGAAGATTCTTTCAGCGTAGGCTGTGATTCAGGGGGTTCTAAGTGCGAAAGCCCCCACTTATCTGCAAGGTTCCTGCCATCCCGGGCACATAGGCAACATACCTAATCTGATCTTTAAAAACCTTATATATCAAGAAACATGGTGGCACTCCAATTCTATCAGCCAAGGTTGGGATTTAGGACGTTGTACGTGCGAAAGTCTCCACCTATCTGCATGGTTCTGCATGGTTCCCTGCCATCCCGTGCACATAGGCAACATACCTAATCTAATCTATAAAAACCTTATCTATCTGCATCGTTCTGCATTGTTCCCGCCACCCCGTGCACATGGGCAACATCTAATCTGATCTATAAAACCCTTATGAAGAAACATGTTGGCACACCAAGCTGGGAAGATTTTAATTCCAGTGTAGGCTGTGATTTAGGAGGTTCTAAGTGCAAAAGTCCCCCCACCTATCTGCCTGGTTCCCTGCCATCCCGTGCACATAGGCAACATACCTAATCTGATCTATCAAACCTTATCAAGAAACATGTTGGCACTCCAATCTGGGAAGATTCTATCAGTGTAGGTTGTGATTTAGGAGGTTCTAAGTGCAAAAGTCCCCACCTATCTGCATGGTTCCCTGTCATCCCGTACACACAGGCAACATATTTAATCTGATCTATGACCCTTACCAAGAAACATGTTCGCGCTCCAATCTGGGAAGATCTTAGTTCTACCCGGGTAGGCTGTGATTTGGAGATTCTAAGTGCGAAAGTCCCCACCTATGTGCCTGGTTCCTTTGCATCCCGTGCGCATATGCAACATCTAATCTCATCTATAAAACCCATACTGAAAAACATGTTGGCACATCAAAAAGGAAAGGTTTTTATTCTACCAGTGTAGGTTCAGATTTAGAAGGTTCTACGTGCTCCCCGCCTATCTGCATTGTTCTGCATAGGCTGTGATTTAGGAGGTTCTAAGTGCGAAAGTCCCCACCTATCTGCGTGGTTCTGCATGGTTCCCTGCCATCCCGTGCACATAGGCAACATCTAATCTGATTTATATAACCCTTACTGATTCTACCAAGAGTAGGCTGTGATTTAGGAGGTTCTAAGTGCAAAAGTCCCCCGCCTATCTGCCTGTTTCCCTGCCATCCCGGGCACATAGGCAACATAACTAATCTGATCTATAAAACCCTTATCCAGCAACATGCTGGCACTCCAATCTGGGAAGATTCTATCAGTGTAGGTTGTGATTTAGGAGGTTCTAAGTGCAAAAGTCCCCACCTATCTGCATGGTTCCCTGCCATCCCGTGCACACAGGCAACATATTTAATCTGATCTATAATCCTTACCAAGAAACATGTTGGCGCTCCAATCTGGGAAGATCTTAATTCTACAAGAGTAGGCTGTCATTTAGGAGGTTCTACGTGCAAAAGTCCAGACCTATCTGCCTGGTTCCTTTGCAACCCGCCCGAATAGGCAACATCTTATCTGATCTATCAAACCCTCATCAACCTGGGAAGATGTTCATTCTACCAGTGTAGGTTGTGATTTAAGAGGTTCTACGTGCGAAAGTCCCACCTATCTGCATGGTTCTGCATGGTTCCCTGCCATCCCGTGCGCATAGGCAACATCTTATCTGATCTGTAAAAACCTTATGAAGAAACATGTTGGCACACCAACCTGGGAAGATTTTAATTCTACCAGTGTGGGCTGTGATTTAGAAGGTTCTAAGTGCGAAAGTCCCCACCTATCTGCCTGGTTCCCTCCAATCCCGTGCGCATAGGCAACATACCTAATCTAATCTATCAAACCCTTATACAGAAGCATGATGGAACTCCAAGCTGGGAAGACTCTATCAGTGTAGGTTGTGATTCAGGAGGTTCTAAGTGCCAAAGTCCCCACCTATCTGCGTGGTTCTGCATGGTTTTGCATGGTTCCCTGCCATCCCATGCACATAGGCAACATCTAATCTGATCTATAAAACCCTTATCCAGAAACATGCTGGCACTCCAATCTGGGAAGATTCTATCAGTGTAGGTTGTGATTCAGGAGGTTCTAAGTGCGAAAGTCCCCACCTATCTGCGTGGTTCTGCATGGTTCTGCATGGTTCTGCATGGTTCCCTGCCATCCCGTGCACATAGGCAACATCTAATCTGATCTGTAAAACCCTTATGAAGAAACATTTTGGCACACCAACCTGGGAAGATTTTAATTCCAGTGTAGGCTGTGATTTAGGAGATTCTAAGTGCGAAAGTCCCCACCTATCTGCCTTTTTCCCTGCCATCCCGGGCACATAGGCAACATACCTAATCTGATCTATCAAACCTTTATCAAGCAACATGTTGGCACTCCAATCTGGGAAGATTCTATCAGTGTAGGTTGTGATTTAGGAGGTTTTGAGTGCGAAAATCCGGACGTATCTGCTTGATTCCCTGCCATCCCATTCGCATAGGATATTTCATATGTATATATATATATATATGTATAGATAGATAGATGTAGATTGTCTCCCATCACCAGTCTATTATATAACCATTACCCAAGCATTATCAAGAAGCATGTTCGTGCTCCGATCTCAAAGTGTAGTAGTCAAAGTATGATTTCAGAGGTTCTAAGTGCCAATCTCCACAACTATCTACATGGTTTTAAACATATGTAGATATTGACTTATAATATCATTAAAGACACTCATGATTTGAAGAGGTTCTAAGTGCGAATCTCCCCAACTATCTACATGGTTATTAACATATGTAGATGTTAACTGATAACATTGAACATTATTATGTCATATGAAAAGGTTCTAAGTGCAAGGGTTTTCGGGATTTTTTACTCTATCGAAATTTATGTTAACATTTCCAACAAAAGGTTCTAACTGCGTGTGCAACTATATATATATATATGTATGTATCACAAACACCATTTGACAATAAGATAAAATGCGCATGGACATCTGGTCAGTGATGTTGTTAAGCCACACGACTTGGTCGGGAGATCAATTGATGTAGCTGTGAACAACAAAGGGAGACAAGACACATTGTTGCTGTGTTAACCCATGTCCAAAAAATGGGAGGTTCCATAGTCATGGGGGTACCCCCTTGCATCATCCAAAATTATACAGACGATTTTGGTATGGAAACCAATGGTTTTTGGGGATCCCCCATTCTAAGGAACCTCCAAATGAATCCTCCAAACTGACAAGGCGACTACCCACTGGTGATAACTCTTATCGTCTTCCTTGGTTTCATCATGTTTCATCCCACCTTGGCGATTTTGATGTCGGACAACGGATTTGCCTGGTAAGATATCGGGCCGGGCGAACAAAAAGAGGTGGACCTTTCTGAAGCCAAAGATGGCTTCAACATTCATTTTCTTGGCAGTAGCTGGGATGGTGTATGTATATATATATATATACACATCGTCATCCAGGAGTGTTTATTGTTAGACATCACCGAAATGAGACTATGTTCTGAACATTCCATATTCTATCTACTTCAGGATGATTGACACATATATATATATATATATATGGCGGTTTGCCAAAATGTATTTTCCTGGTTTTGTTGATAAATCGTAATTCCTTGCGTGTCGCTTCTTATTGTGCCTTTAAAACCATGACTGACCTAAATAGTCTGAAACCCTGCATTTTATCTTTCATGTTTGAAGCCGTAGCTAAAACCTGCAGTAAATGCTAACGCGCGTCTATATGAAGTGGGTGCCGCTGCTAGTTGTTAGTGGTTGAATATCTGCAGAGCTGGTCGTTGCCTTTGCTGTCACTGTTGCTTTGTCAAACGGCAGGATAAACTACAAGTTCTCTGGTGGTGATTGGGTCACGGGTCAACCAAAGTCGTTTTTTGAAACTTTTGCTAGCGCAATGCTAGCGGGGATCTAGCGGGCAAAATTACACACAAATTCGCAAAGTTGAGCCGCAACCTCAAAAATATACGAACATATATGAAAATTGTTGAGTAGCACAGAAATTAACTAAGACATCCTTAGGTTTAAGGGGCTAAGTGTTACATCTTGACTTTTCTTCATGTTGAAATAACAAGCAGACAGGAACACAAAAAAATGTCCTTGAACGTGGGTGTGAAAAAAACTAGCGCAAACCTAGCGGGTTTGCTAGCGCTGCCTTGCAGAATTGGTGAATTTAGTTGCGTGCTGCCTCATAACGAAAAGGAAAACCAACTAGGTCCACACTAATTATCAACAACTAATACAAAACGTTTGTCAACTATTTTTGGCAAATGGTCATGTACATACAGATGCATAATGTGTGTATATATATATATATACAATTATATGGGTTCCTGAAATGGGGGGTACCCCAAAATTGATGGTTTATAATGGGGAAAAACCTCTTAAATCGGATGTGCGGATATTCCGATGGAAACTTCAACTTCTTTTCTTATGGTCACCTGGAGGATAACATAGATCCAATTCTGAAAGTATGATATGGCTATGATAAATATATATATATATAACTTTGGTATAACATGGTATAACTATGATGTATTTATGATATACCAATGATGAAATGTTGGTATAATAACTATAACTATAGCTATGGTATACCTATGAGATATTACAACCATGATATAGCTATGATATAACCATTGGATATAATTTTGATATAATGATGATATGGATATTATACAAAATAAGATCCAATTAGACTATGCATTATTAATACTCGGCTGCAATTTTGTGTTTGGTTTCTGTGGGTTGCGTGTGTGATTCCATGTTGATGCCGCTGCTTGTCACAGAAAGCATTGCCAAGTTCATCCATTCATGTAGATTACTACGAGTTAATACAAACAAATAGTTACTGATGCTATTAACATTATCTGTATATAATGGGCAAAATGAAGATTCCACATTATATATGTCATACACAGATAGGAGTGTGCAAAGCACTTTTACTAGTATTTTCCATTGTACTAGTTGGTTTATAGGGGGTTCTATAGTGGGTCACCACAATTCCTACATGTATATAAATATATATATATATATACATACGTATATACATACATAGCTAGGATCAACTAGGTAGCTTAGAAACTCCTATTTCATAACCTACCAAATGGTATGTGAGGCACTGTTCATTTGAGGATTGCCAGATAAGACTATTATGTGCAAATACCAGTACCGAATAGTGACACAAGCTCTTACCGTCTGGGGTTCAATTACCCTACAAATCCCTCCGAATAGGGGCTGAAATTGGTACTTACAAACTTCCAGTAATACTGTAATATTTCCAAATTTACGAATCTTTATAGTACTAGCAAATCTTTAAGTTATTAGTAAACAAAAAAAGTTCTAGTTGTCGGGGGGGCCATAGTTTTCTCGAATTATCAACATTATCAGGATGGTTCTACCCACTAAGTTCACCCCAATTGGACCCCCGGCCTGTTCCAAGTTGATGACACCGTTGGTTTTCAGCACCTGGGTGCTGTTAGAGCTGCTCGTCAGATTTTCTGATGGTTTCTTAGAGATTCACCAATTCAGATGTTTCCAGTAATTAATTTACCAAACGAAACCTTCTAACCTGTTTCCAGGAAATATGTCCTTAAAGCAAGTCAGGGAGTGAACGGAATGAACAAATCAGTGAAATTAAGTGGCCACGGAGATAAATATGAGTGGTGAATGGGGGGTGAACGGGATGAAATTAAATGATCACTAGGATAAGATTGGCTGTGAACACCAAAAAACACAGCCAACAATTTGCACTTACTGGTTGGTGGTTTCAATCCCTCTGAAAAATATGAGTTCGTCAGTTGGGATTATGACCTTCCCAATACAATGGAAAGTCATAAAATTCCATGGTTCCAAACCACCAATCAGATACCATGATGACGACTGTGAACAGGTACAAAGGTGGGGACGATCCTCTCGATATGATACAGCCTGCTGGTGCATCATGGTGCAATGGTCATGGTCCAATGGTATCACAGTCGTCCCACCGCACTCTCTTGCTGCCCAATGGCCCGATGGCTGGTTATCCGACCCTTCTGCCTGATTATCCGACCCTATCCTGTTGGCTCACTTCCGTAGTCCAACTAAAATTCATGAAAATCAAATCCTTGATCCAACCCTTCAGGTAACCCCTTCACCAAGCTCTACCAGAATTTCTCAACTGAGTAGAAGCACAAGTAGCTCGAAGAAGCAACCAGCAATGAGCTCTCGCCTTCCCCGAGTCTGGTTCCTGCCATGTGCTTCTCTCAAAATTCAGCATGAAGCATCCCCATATGGAGGTTTCCTAAAATTAGGTACCCCAAAATGGATGGTTTATACTGGAAAATCCTCCCGCAGCTACCAACAATCAAAAACAGCCTGCACAAAACAGCCTGCACAAAACTGCCTGCACAAGGGTATGTCGACTAAACAATGATGGTTCCAAAAAAGTGAATCCCCTACTAAACCGGTTTCTGGGGACTGTTTGTTTTTACGGACAGGGCACGGGGTTTTCCATTACAACCCCCATTATTTCCTATGATATCTCGTGAAAATCAATTAAATTACTAAGATTCCCGAATTTCTAATGTAAAAATCGCCTATCCCATGACCCAAGAAACCGGCGGCGACCAGCAGAAACTTCGCCTGCACATCTCCTCGTAGGAAAGATCTGCTGCGCCTGTGTCCTTGAACTCCTGTGGCAGAGTCGGAGGAGCTGCCACGAGGAAAGTGACTAGCCCCAAATGTGGGAGTTGACCACAAGCACTAATCCCTTCCCAAAATATTGAAGACCCCAAATAAATCACGGTGAAACATAAACAAACCACATATTTGAGACCATTTATGGGGTGCTTAATATTGGAGGAATGGAATCTATTGTGGTTGCAAAAATAGCGGATCCAAGTGAAAAACAGGGATTGTCAGTTGAGGCGGTTATTGGTTGTTGCAGAGTCTCTGTCTTTTCCACTATGTTATTGACCGCAAAATGATGCAAAATGACTTGGAACATGACGCCAACGTACACAAAGAGTGTGACAGTTGATAGGGGCGAAAAAGAACATGCAGATACAGCAGGATTTTCATATCTACCCGCTGGGATAGCATCATGGAACAAACATAGGCAGACAAGAAGATTTCGGTGATTCCTATGTCTCAAATTGAATCGCCAACAAAGAATCCATCCGATTGAAATGGTTTGCCTAGGAAACTTTACGCAACACCATTCATTTTAGGTGAAAATTTATCAGGGTTTCCTATAGAGCTGTCCCTCAATCATTTGTCCACGGCCACAAAAATTTAAGATGTGATAAAAATAAATCCCAGAGGTTAAGAAAAATCCCTAATGAAACATCATTTTTTCGCACCTCACCCAGATGCGAACCATGGTGCTGGAAGATGCACACCAACATTTACCCGAACAATTTATCACCCAGTCATGGAGCAAAAAAGGGTCAAGGAAAGGCTGTCAAAAATCTCCTTGGCCAGAAAACGATGCATTTTTTCGCTGCGTCCGCTGTACCTGGCCATGCTCATCCCATCATATCATAAATGGGTTTCCTCAGTGTTGCTTAACAAGTCTTAATATGGGTTGCATATGTTTGTTTTATTTTTTTGGGGTGTGTGTTTTTTGTTTTTCAGTCTGGGGCACTGTTCCTTGCTATTTGCTACATTTTGGAGCAAAAACCTGTACTTTGCTGATTTTTGGAGCTAAAAATTGCCATTTGCACTGTTCATCGATTTTTCTATGGTTTTACTTGATTTTTCCATGGTGTTCATTGATTTACCCAAAGTGTTCATCGATTTATCCATAGTTTTCATTGAGTTTTCCGTGGTTTCAATTGTTTTTGTTCCATGGTTTCAATTGATTTTTCCATGCATAACATGCACGTGGTGAACATGTAGAATATAGGTTGAAACACAACCGTGTTGGGTCTAAATAGTGGCATTGGATGCTACTGTATCATAGTGTTGGTTGGTTAGGGTTGGTTTAGAGTTGATTTAGGGTTTATTTGGGGTTGGTTTATAGTTGGTTTAGGGTCATTTAGGTTTGGTTCAGGGTTGGTTTAGGGTTTATTTAGCGTTGGTTATGTCGGGTTGGTTTAGGGCTTCTCTAGGGTTGGTTCAAGGTTTATTTAAGTTTTATTGGGGGTTATTTAGGGTTATTTAGGGCTATTTGGAATTATTTCGGGTTTGTTTAGCGTCTATTTAAGTCTGTTGTGGGTTGGATTAAGGTAAATGTAGGGATACAAGGTGTGTATATAACGATCGATCGATCGATCGATAGATAGATAGATAGACAGATAGATAGATAGGATAGATAGGATAGAGAGGATAGATAGGATAGATAGGATAGATAGGATAGATAGGATAGATAGGATAGATAGGATAGATAGGATAGATAGGATGGGATAGGATAGGATAGGATAGGAAAGGATAGGATAGGATAGGATAGGAAAGGATAGGGTAGGATAGGATAGGAAAGGATAGGATAGGATAGGAAAGGATAGGATAGGATAGGATAGATAGATAGACAGATAGATAGATAGATAGGACGATAGGATAGATAGAGAGATAGATAGATAGATAGATAGATAGATAGATAGGACGATAGGATAGATAGAGAGATAGATAGATAGATAGATAGATAGATAGGTAGATAGATAGATAGATAGGATAGATAGGATAGAAAGGATAGATAGATAGGATAGAAAGGATAGATAGATAGATAGATAGATAGATAGATAGATAGATAGATAGATAGATAGATAGATAGATAGATAGATAGATAGATAGATAGATAGATAGATAGATAGATAGATAGATAGATAGGTAGATAGATAGAAAGATAGATAAATAGATAAATAGATAGATAGATAGATAGCTAGATAGCTAGATAGCTAGATAGCTAGATAGCTAGATAGATAGATAGATAGATAGAGATATAGATAGATAGATAGATAGATAGATAGATAGATAGATAGATAGATAGATAGATAGATAGATAGATAGATCGATAGATAGATAGATAGATAGATCGATAGATCGATAGATAAATTGGATTAGATAAATAGATAGATAGATAGATAGATCGATAAATAGATAGATAAATCGGATTAGATAAATAGATAGATAGATAGATAGATCGATCGATAAATAGATAGATAGATAGATCGATGGATAGATCGGATTAGAAAGATAAATAGATAGATAGATCGATAGATAGATAGATAGATAGATAAATAGATCGATAGATAGGTAGATAGATAGATAAATAGATAGATAGATAGATAGATAGATAGATTAGATAGATAGATAGCTAGATAGCTAGATAGCTAGAAAGATAAATAGTTAGATAGTTAGATAGATAGATAGACAGATTAGAAAGATTAGATAGATAGACAGATTAGATAGATCAGATGTATCAGATAGATGAGATAGATGAGATAGATTAAATAGATAGTTTAGATAAACTAGATAGATTAGACCGATAGATAAGATAAGACAACATAAGATAACAACAACAGATAAAATAAGATAAATTAGATAAAACTTGATAAACATTAGGTAAGATAAAATAATATAAGATTATGTTAGATTAGATAGGTATATAATATAGATAAGTAAAGCATGGTAAAGCCACCAAGGCCACACACCCACAAACGCCACAGAAGCCACAAAGCCAAGCTGGAAAACAAAAACGACAAGAATGCCCTCCCTCAATATATGTTAATAAAAGTTCATATCATCATCCAACCTTTTGACATCTTTTGACCACGACACATACGATATAGCTGATATAGCTTATAAGCGTTAGTACGGGATATCCTCGCCAGAATGCTTGCAGCCAGGAGAAACAAACCCAAATATGATCATCGTATCTGTGAAAGATCGCGAGGAAATTCCAAGTACCGATGTAGTAGTCCAATAATGGAAAATCCTGGTCATATGGGGGCGTGATTCCAATCATCCATACTGATCCATACTGATCCAGACTGATCCATACTGTCCAAATATTCCCGGCACTAGATGGCAGCATAGATAGCCAATAAATCTCTGCAATTGGACTTCATCAATCTTGATCAATTGATTGATTGTCTTGTCTCGTGTTTGGCATCCAGCAACGTTTTTTCTCAATAAATTTGCTTAAATACCACTGAAACCAGCAGCATTGGAGATTTTGGGCTCGCTCAGGCAACAGCCATTCACTCGTGAAGACCGAGGGCACCCAAGCCGTGCATTGCCAGACTGATCCTCATCATCCATAGCACCGGTCCTTGGTGGTATGTGGTTGTGGGTACCCCCACCAGTTGTCTGGAAGTGATGGCAAATCACATTGAATACTGGTTGGTGGTATACCTGCCCCTCTGAAAAAATATGCTCGTCAGTTGGGGTTATTGTTCCCAATATATGGAAAAATAAAAATGTTCCAAACCACCAACCAGTAACATGTGGATAAAATTGATATATATTTCATGTGTTCGATTTTGCATGTGTTCATTCTTCTGGGTCAAGGGGAGGCGTAGCCTACCAATATGACATCTTCTTTCGGGAAAAACATGATAAATGATATAGGAAATCCATGGAAATCCGGGTGCCAAGTAACTTGATGTATATATAATTTTAATATACACTCTGGTAAACTAACATATATAGCTATGGAAAATCACAATTTTTAATGGGAAAACTCACTATAAATGACCATTTTCAATAGCTATGTAAAATTACCAGAGGGTAACTCCTTAAGTCGATGTGAGTTGAACCCCTGGAAAACGAACAATGCAAAGAAAAAGAATAGGCTTCGGGCGTTTTAAGCTTGCTACAGTTATGGCCCAAAATACCAGTTAATCCAGTTATAAGTACTGAACTAACCACATTTATAGATTGTATAATCCCATTTATAACCAGTTATAACTAATACATGGCCATAACTGCACCCATGTGGTTTCACAACATTGAAACTTCTGGGTCAGCTGAGTCCTCAGTTGAGCAGTGTTCAAAACCCTGTGTCGCTCTTCTAAACCAGATGGTCGAGGACCGGATTCAGAGAATGGAGTATGAGAATCCCCAAGATACTGGGTAGTATAATCCTTGGACTCATCAATCAACCATCATTGAATGATGATTGAATGATATTCCTCATTATATATTATACTGAAAACCCCTGTGTATAAATGTGTATAATATACTGTATATATATATATATATATATATAGATGTTAATGCCCATTAAGCAACTACTCAACAGGACTTGAGCAGCCACAACGCTCCGTTGTCCCCTGCACGCACACAACGGGCCCCCCGGCACCACAGCATTCATGGAGGATGGCGCATTCTCAAGCAGCAGCGTCTCCGTCTCGGCAATGGTGAGTTCATCCCAATGCGCGTTGGTGGGTTAGCCCCAGCTGAATATCTTTATATTGTGGTTAATATACTGTTAATAATGGTTAACATATGGTTAATATACTGTTAATAATGGTTGATGTTAATCGTTATTAAATGGTTAATGATGGTTAATAATAATCTGGTTGGTGTTTTTCGCCTACCCCCCTGAAAATTCATGGAGTTCGACAATTGGGATGACGACATTCCATTCCCAATATATGGAAAAATGTATTAAACATGTTCCAAACCACCAACCAGATAGGGCCAGTCGAGTTTAAACCACCAACCAGATAGGGCCAGTCGAGTTCAAACTGGTGCTTTTTTCACGTAAATAACTCGGGAGTTATTGGGGTAAACCAGCAACTAGTCCCACTACCGCTCATGATATGTCATGACTATGAGAGGGTATTTGTCAGGGATCATCATGTCAACTATAGACATGGAACATTAAACTACCCTCTGGTAACATACAAAAAGCTATTGAAAATTACCATTTATAGTTGATTTACCCATATTTACCCATTAAAAATGGTGATGTTCTATTGTTTTGTGTTTTTTTTTATCAGAGGGTAGTTTATTAAACCTGAAATCACCGACCCAGTAGCCCCAGCAACCCCTTTAAACGGGAACACCTCTGTCTTACTTTATCATACTTTATCACCATGTTTCCTTACGAAAAAACGGTAAATCCATGTAAATCCACTATGTGGGAAAACACCAATCATATTGTTGGTGACACATCCTATTATATCCTCACAAAATATCCTGAAATTACATCACAGTAATATGATTGATTGGTTATACCCTCCGGTAAACAAAATTATCGATTAATTTCTCATTAAAACCTTCATTTTCAGTGAATTTCCCATGTTTTCTTAATTTTGTCCTATGATTTTCTCATGTTTCCTATGTTGTTCACATAATACATAGGAGATTGGCCAGCCAGTCACGTTCATCGGAGGGTAAGCCACCAATTGATCCCTTGCTTCGCATCCCTTGGTTCACCAAAGGCGCCACTACTGGCGTCTCTTCCAACATTCCAGGACTCCTGCGAGGAGGAAATTGTAGTTGTGGATGTCCATCCCCCAAATATGGTTTTAATATGCCACTAACATGGTATTAATGTAGATATGAAACCCATAAACCATTATTGTAGCTCATAATCATCAGTTACTAATTGTTAGTGATGAACACCATGACATTAACAATTTACTATATATATTATATTTTTTTTTCCCTATATCATGCTCAATCTATTAATATGGTATTAATGTATTGATGCCAATCCCATATCCCATAGTTCCTATCAATCCAATAACTACAGAGATATCTGCCATATATGGAGGTTTCCTAAGTCACGGTGCCCATAGGTAAACCATCTATAAATGGGCCATTTTCCATGGCTATGTTAAGTAACTGGAGGGTAATGGCCTTGAGATGGGATATCAATATGATCTTAATGATGTATTATGGATTTTGCAGCCATTCTTTTTAGTGACTCGTTGGTTGATCCAAAGACCAACAAAAACTACGTTTGGGGGGTAGTATTGGCTAAATATAAAGTTCAAATGACCCATTTACCCCCAAAAAAGTGGCGATGTTTACCTATAATCAGTTGGAGCAACTCTGATTCTGTTAATCTTTTTCTCCACTCATCGGGCGCATCATTGTCCACAACGGCCGCGCAGCGGCACACTGTCCAGCGAGAATATTGGGCCGTTCAGGGCGGCGGGGAGCTGGTTTGCACCATCGTTGAACATCTTGCCTGGTTGGTGGTTCCAACCAGACCCAAACATACATAAACATACGGGTCAACATACGGGTTAATGTGGATCATCGCAAATTTCAGGAGGATGATATTTGCGGATTATGAACCTGGCTATAGGTTTTGGCTTTCTATGATCTGCCCGAGTTCCAGGACACCAAGCGCCGGAGCCAGGTCAAAGGGACCCTCCATGACTTAGCGAAGTGGAAAATCGACATGTTTAAGAACGGTAAATCATCACTTCTGAATACTTTTGGTATAATCTACTATTAGCTACTCTAAATAACTGAGGGTAACATGCTGGGAATCGATTCAAAAAATCATCCGGTTCGAATCAAATCCGGAATGTTTGATGTTTAATCCATGTTTTGGGTGGCCAATTTCCATACGGGAAATCATCACTTTTACACATATCTTAACTAAATCTTTGACAATAGACATGAACTGTTTGATGTTTAGTCACTGTTTAACCCCTGTTTGATATTTATAATCCCCTGTTTGATATTTATTTATAATATCCATGTTTGATGTTTAGTCACTTTTGTTAACCCCTGTTTGATAATTATTTATCATCCCCTGGTGTTTATCACTTGTTTCTGTTGATGAAATTCTCAGATGTCGATGGATCGCATCAGTCCCAAAGTTTGATCGCCCCGTCCCAGCCGCAACTCACAACGCGAGAGGTCCTCGGCCATCGCGTCTCGGGTTTAGGGTGGATCAGGGGGAGTTCACAGGACGTTGGGGAGATGAAACCAATGGATTTACCCTCTGGTTATGTCAAAATAGCTATTGAAAATTGCCATTTATAGTTGATTTTCCCATTAAAAATTGTGATTTTCCATAGCTATGTTAGTTTACCAGAGGGTATAAGGAATTTATCAGGGATTTATAACGGATATGGGATTTCACAAGAAATGTTTAAGAAGTTAATGATATAGGGAATATATCAAACTAAGTTCAGGGTTGCTCCAAACACCCCACACCACATGTGGCTACCATGTATCTACAATTGGCTTGAAGCAACCCTGGCACCCATGTAGCTAATGCGGATTATGAACCAACTTGGAAGTGAGGGATACCAGCCTGTATGGAGAGTTGAAGCCGTGTGTCATTCAAATGTTGTTTTACCATGATATAACCAATATATACCAATATTATTTATATGGCTATGGATCAAAAGTCGGTTCCACATCACCATGTTTTTCTGGGACATCCTCTATACCCGGCCTGGTCAACGTTTACAGTTTGCTATTGAAAATAACCATAGAAATAGTTGATTTTGCCATCATAAATGGGTGATTTTCTGGAGTTATCTTAGTTATATATACATGCTGGTTGGTGGTATACCTGCCCCTCTGAAAAATATAATGGCTTACTTAATTGTTGATATGGTGTGGTATTCATCATAGCTAATTAGTGACATTGATATAATACGTAAGCATGTATGATCAATGTATCTGGTTGGTGGTATACCTACCCCTCTGAAAAATATGAGTTCGTCAATGGTTGGTGGATGACATCCCATATATGAAATGGAACATAAACCAAATGATTGAAACCACCAAGCAGATCTAGTCATATGTAGACATCAGACATCTTTCGTGTTGCTGGATAATATGTGTCTTTGTCCATGGCATTTTGGCATCAGTATACGGTGGGCTTTCCCGCCATGTTTGAGTACTGGAGGGTAACTCAAAAGCAGTTGGCTGGTTTCAAACCATCCCACACCGCCCGACTGTTTCAGACAACGCGCCCGAGAAATACAGTTGGGAAAAAACAGAGGAATGTATGTAGTACAGTATCCCAACAAATACCCACATATAATTATATAGTCGACTGAGAATGGGATGATATACAATATATTATACGATATTATATAGATGGTCAATCTTTGGTAGTCCACCAAAAAATGTTATCGTTTGCTCGTAATTGCATGTAATTGTGTGATTCTCCGTATATTTCGCAAAAAACTAAAGTTTAAGGATAATTTCCTACCCATCCAAGGCTGGGGATATACACAGGCAGCTAACCAAGTATAATATGTGGGGCATCCCAACCAATCCAATCGCGATGTTTTCGAACACATTGGTCTGAGTTGAACAACTGATGGGTTGAGGTACCGGTCAGCAGCACGTGTATGACCCAAGAAATTATAATTAGGTGATAACTTCAAGGTATATTAAATATATATATATATATACACACACACATACTTGCGGGTTATAAACCAACTTGAACTGGGGGGGGCCACCTTGTTGAGGTTTCGCACTTGGGGAACCTCCAAAAGATCATTTCTTGGGGGAATTCACCCCTTGGACCCACTGGTCTCGCACCGCACCGTCGCCCATGGAGCCTTTTTTCACGTCGCGCGGATTGACCAAAAAATGGACTTCTTGTCACGTCACGTCGGAACGAGGGGATTAAATCAACCTGTGGTTGATTGGACATTTTTTGGTACAGGTCAAAAGCATGGACCGAAACACGGCTGTCATGACCAAACCAAGGGAAAACAGGTCCTGCGGTTTGACCCATACCGCAATGTGGGTGACAAAAACTCAAACAGCTGCAGGGGTTACCATCGAACGCGTGCAACAGATTTTGACAGATTTTGACAAATTTCCACACGGAATAAATTCTAAATGGGTTTGTCTGAAAATAGGGTACCCCAAAATCCCGTAGCTTACAACTTATCATTATTTCCCGATTCAAACATAGCCATGAAATTGGGCATCGACCCCATTTTTGGACAAACCCAAATTATCAAAATAACAAGTCTACAAAAAAACATGGTGTTCTATCAAATGTTCCGTTTTAGTTGGATAATAAACACTAGTTATCATTTTCTCCAACAAAAACTAAAAGTCGACCAAAAACACAGTCGAAAAACATCCGGCCAAGGCTTCCGCGAGATCACATGGGGATCTGAAAACACGCGGGCCTCAAAGGAGGGATCTGCAAACTCTCAACCTCAGCTGCCGTAAAGAGTCACCCTGATTTTTGTTCATTAAATCACCATGTATATATCCCGTAGTTCATGCAAATATATAGCGCATGTATACTATATATATATATACACATATATATATATATATATTATGTATATATATATATATATATTATGTATATATATATATTATGTAAAATCGCCGCTACAAACACTAACTCACCATTAAATCACCATTTTTACAAGAATTCATCCAGATGTTCTCTTACTTCCCATTAAATCCCATGAAATCACCATCTTTAAACCACCATAAAATGGTTGTTTATCAGGCAATCCCGTTGAATTCCTATTTTTGATGGATAAATCACATCTATTATCAATGAGTACAAACACATGCCCATTAAATCACCTGTTGAATCGGATTAAGTCATCAGTTTTCATCGCATTTTCATTGGAATACAAATTGTCCACATAAAATCATCATAAATCACATAAAATCAACATGTCCAAAAAACTTTACCCAGGTATGTTCCGAACATTTCTCCTCATTCCCGATCCCAGAAAAAATCACCATGAATTCACCAATTTCAATCACCATGAAATCAAAATGAAAGACCACATTCAATCGCTATAAAAAAACACCATTAAACCCAAGTAAATCCCGTTCAATCAACATAAACATCCATAAACCCTGGATAATCCCATCCATTCATATTAAAACACCATGAGATCACCACCTGGGCTTCTCCGAGGCGCAAGGACGCGAAGAGCCCCGAGGCAGCGAAGTCGGCGCCGGCGCCGGGGCCGCGGAAGACCAACGGGGTGCTCTCCTGAAATGGCGATTATGTTGAAAAAATGGTTAGAGTTATGATTATTTTACAGTGTATATATGTATTATGGCTGTTACACTAATTGGGATGCAAGGTGGTACTAATAACCACAATATGTTCTTACAAGTTCTTATATATATATATACATATATACTGGTTGGTGGTTGAGCCACCCCTCTGAAAAGTATGCTCGTCAGTTGGGATTATTCTTCCCAATATATGGAAAAATAAAAAATGTTCCAAACCACCAACTAGTATATATATATATATATGTATTCTCATCATAGTTTAGGGATATAACCTACTTACTAAGTGGGAAAGTGGGATTGATAAGGGTTATTTTATAGTTTGTACTCATCATAGTTAAACTATTTTATATTCATCATAGTATGTAATTATTTCTACTGTATTCATAATAATGGCTATATTGATTAATAATTGCTGCAGTAATATATATATATATATATGTATACATGAGTATATCACACTTGTTGGAATTATGGCTATTTTACAGCTATATGCATACTTCACAATAGGTGTGGTTATAATAGTTTTAAAAATTGATCACATGTTTTTAAAATGATGCATACTCATCATAGCTAAATTCATCATAGTATGTATATATATATATATTGACACTATATTCATAATACTGGCTATATACTATGATGATCTATGATGAATGTATGCCTAGAGCCTCCACAATATACCAAAAACATGTACAATTGGTAGAACAATAGATATATAAAATGTTGGAATATCAATAATCCATGAACATTGTTAATATTGTTATAGCAATAGATAACGGCTTACTTAATTGTTGATATGGTGTGATATTCATCATAATTAATTAGTGACATTGATATAATACGTAAGCATTTATAAACAATGTATATCAACTCAAGTTGGATGGGTCTAGGTGAAAGTCTTGGACCTCTTCATGTCAAAGAAATCCGGGGGCGATACAACTTACAGACCCGGTCCGATCATATGTCCGTTCTGGATGTTGGAGGCCGACGACATAGGATTCGGATGTGATTGGGAATGAGATTAGATCCCTATAGCCTCTGGTAATTTGTTACATAGCTATTGAAAATGGCCATTTCTAGTTAATATACCCATGAAAAATTGTGATGTTCCATAATTATGTAAACGTTTAACAGAGGGTAGCAGAACCCTAAAAAAGACCTTGTGTGTTGGAGCTTTCCATCCAGGGCATGTTGGATTTCGGGGTGCATTTCCATGCATTTCCTGTATCAGCATCCTGGACATCGTATTGTGATGAAACAACAAGGTATTGGTTCGTTCCTCTAAGAACAGGATACCACCAAATTTCATCGTTGACCATCAACTTGCCATGACTTGGATTATCTGCATTTTGTTCCCCACCTACCAGGTGAGGGTTGTTAGATTTTATCAGAGCTGTTCTCTTCCTCCTCGACTAGCTCTCCTCTTCCTCATTCTCCTCCTCCTCCTCCGCCTCCTCCGCCAGTTTCTCCTCGACCATGTCTGCATCAACTTCCACCTCAACTTCCACCTCAACTTCCGCCTTGCCAACTCTTCGCCAAGCTCTTTGCCAACTTCCCAGCTCAACCTGGGACCTGCCCAGCTCAGTGTGCACCGCTGGACCTCAACCTGGGACCTTCCCAGCTCAGTGTGCACCGCTGGACCTCAACCTGGGATGTGCCCAGCTCAGTGTGCACCGCTGGACCTCAACCTGGGACCCTGCCCAGCTCAGTGTGCACCGCTGGACCTCAACGGCCAGATAGAATGCCAGAAGATATGCCAGATAGAAAGCTATAAGATATGCCAGATAGAATGCCAGAAGATATGCCAGAAGATATGCCAGAACATATGCCAGAAGGTATGCCAGATAGAATGCCAAATAAAATGTCAGATAGTAGAATGCCAGAAGATATGCCAGATAAAGTGCCAGAATGTTTGCCAGATAGAATGCCAGAAGATTTGCCAGATACTATGCCAGAAGATGTGCCAGAAGATATGCCAGATAGAATGCCAGAAGATATGCCAGAACATATGCCAGAAGATATGCCAGGTATAATGCCAGAAAGTATGCCAGATAGAATGCCAGAAGATTTGCCCGATAATATGCCAGAAGATATGCCAGATAGAATGCCAGAAGATATGCCAGAACATATGCCAGAGATATGCCAGGTAGAATGCCAGAAGATATGCCAGAACATATGCCAGAAGATATGCCAGATAGAATGCCAGAAAGTATGCCAGATAGAATGCCAGACAAAATGTCAGATAGAATGCCAGAAGATTTGCCAGCAACAAAATGTATAAATGTCATATTGGGCTTCACACAAAGTAAAGTAATTTGAAACATACTACCATGGAACAATTGTGATACTGCCGGATATTTGCCACTTTTTATATTGCCATACTTGGATTATATTGGATTATCAAAATTGGATTGCACTATCCAGCATCTTTATGCATCTTTTGCATGGTTTTTTGCAATCATCATCATTTTGACCACGGAACATGCCATTTTGGGTGGCACCGCCGTGAGAACTTTGCCAAGTGGCAGGAAAGCGCTGCGACACCACCTCCACCTCGGGACATCGACTCGAGCAGGTCATTGGATGGATGATATATCATTATTCTGAGTAAATAATAACGACCTCACTGCGACCTCACTATAATCATGTCATAGTTCGTAGGGGAGATGATCCCGAAATGGCCTTAGTTCAGGTTAGTGAAATATTCCAATTTACCCAGATTATTATACCTCGACCCTCCAAATCCTAGAAAAATATAGGTGCTTTCGGAATTTGACCTATATCGACTGATTTTACCCAAAACACCTAGATCTTGGATTTTAGGACTTTGATTGCATGTTTTTGGGTTTGGTGAGACAAAGGCCAAAAAATGTTTGCAGCGCATCAAACGACTGGGGATAAAACCCGCAAAACCCCGCAAAAAAACCGCAAAAAGCCCGCAAAAACCCGCAAAAACACGCAAAAACCCGCAAATCCTGAAATCTCGTTGTTTTAGGTAGTTTTCGGATTTTTTTGGTTGTTCCAAAAATCATCACGGCTTGTGGACCCGGCTGTAGTGCTGAGATTTTCCCAGAAACATACATGTTTGGAACAAAGTGAATCATTTTTTGGTTTGTTTGACCTATCTTCTTAGAACGACCATTTTTTCCTCGGCAGTGGAGGGTCGAGGTATACTTCAAATACATGGTTTCAACAATGATGATTCCAAAATAATTATTCTGAATTAAACTTGAAGGCAACATTGAAACCTCCAAACATCTGGGAGTTTTCCCTGACATGAATTTTCCAAAGAATCAAAACTGTTCACCTCGACAAAAAATCGGGTATCAGATGTTTTCCGGTCAATTTGAGGGGATCCCGCTACTCTACTGACATAATCTGCGGTCATGTCACGGTCATTCTCATTCACCCAGATTCATGTGTGTGTGTGTGTGTGGGTGCTAAACAAGTGCAGCTGAATAGCCATAAACAGCAACGGCAATTGTAAGTTTGTATAACCCAGCCACAGTGCATAGTTTGCACTAATCGAACAAGCATTCGTCACATTCGTCAATGGTGAACATGTGACATCTTCTGACGGCAAAAATGGCTCTACAAATGACTCTTGCACGAAGCGAAACTCTGGGGTACACCAAGAGCATGGTTTTGTCAGAAAACCTATCTGTATTTCCACAAGTTGCAAGATGCGCGGATGTCTGAGCCAACTGAATGCTCCCAGCTGGAGGAAGATCATCTCTGCAGTGGACCGGTTGAATGCCGGTTGTGCTAGCCATATCCAAATTTGCTGGCGGAATCCCCAATTCAATTTAGACATTGGTGGTTGCTTCTTAAACCTATCACCAGCTGGTTTACCCAGTGTTGATGGTGAAATTATTCAGCTCCCAAGCTTTGTCGCTTGATTGCTGTTGTTTTCCTAATATCGGTTGCTTCATGTTGCGCTTTAAAAAGTACAAGACACCATGAAACAAAGAACAATAGTTAAACTATATCGTGGGGAACTGTGCTTTCTTCTCCACTACTGTTGTCACCGATCATCTCACCCAGCCAGTCGCCAGTTGCGTTGGGTCCCAATGTGGTCGCTGCTGATTCAACGACCACACCACTACCCATTCTCGGTGACCCCCAAACATATCATGGATGGTTCAGATTCGTCCTTTAAACAAAGTGGTCGTTGGTTTTTAAGATTGGCCCTTAATAAACCTCTATATATTATATTGTGGATATAGCAGCAAAATGCCATCAAATTGTATAACCCATAGGAGCATATTGAAACATACTAAACCAATTAAGAGCCTATTCTTGGTGGGCAAACTCATGAACATTCATGAAAAGAGCACATATTGAAATCGTGCACCGAGTCACGGCCATGTCGGCATCTTGCACGGCAAAGGGCGGGTTCTGCGCCTTGACATCTTGGGTATGGCGCTGCCACAGCTGGGGTACCCTCTGGTAAACTAACATAACTATGGAAAATCACCATTTTTAATGGGAAAATCCACTATAAATGGCCATTTTCAATAGCTATGTTAAATTACCAGAGGGTACATGTCCAAACCCACTTAAATCGCTTTTCATGGCAGAAAACGACCCAAAAAAAAATATGGAAAAGTACCTTAAAACCATATATGTTGTAGCTAGAAGGGTCAGTAGATCCCATGGCAAAGGATTGAAGATTTACCCCCTGGTAAACGTTAACACAAAACTATGGAAAGATCCACCATGTTTAATGGGAAAACTCACTATAAATGAGCCATAGGTCCATCCCATGGCAAAGGATTGGAAATTTACCCTCTGGTAAACGTTAACAAAAAACTATGGAAACAAATCCACCGTTTTTATGGGTAAATCCATTATTTCTATGGCCATATATGGCCATTTTCCATAGCTATCTTAGTTTACCAGGCCGGGTCTTAGAAGTCCGACGTTTCTTTTCGCTTGGCAAAAAACATCCGCCGGGGTGCTGGAAAGCTTTGGATGCCCGCCGTGATGGATCCCTTCGGCACATCAATTCTCCCCACGTAGAAAAGGAGCTCCCCTTTCCTCGATGCATCGCTGAGTCGATGGATCCCTGGGAAACATGGCGATTTTACTCTCTTATTTAACATCATAGCCATGGGTAATGGCCCATAGACATAGATGGTTTACCTATTAATAGCATGGTGATTTTCCATGGCTATGTTAAATAAGCAGATGGTGTCCCTGGATGATAGAGGGACAACTCGCCAATAAATCAGCAATAAATCTAAGTATACAAGAAAACTTTAAGTCATAGGGGATCATCATCCCCATGTTCATCCCAAATCTCGTTCAGCATAGAACATCACGCTAAAGACACCCAATGAGATCATTGGTTAAATACCCATGACATCCCCGTATCATCATCATCATCATCATCATCATCTAGATTTTAGATGGCTAAATCCATCTAAATCCGATTACATCCCATTGAAAAGTCATCCAACATGTGCCAAGGGTCTCTTTTGCCTCACGAAACTTCTCGGCCATGGGGCCATCTACCTGCGATTGTTCGTTCACGGTTTACTAGCATGGTATTTACACTCATTGAATACAGCCTTTCACCAGCTTCAAAGTAGGGATTTATTCGGAATCAATGTCTGAGTGGTTGGCTACCCTGAGATGTTGTAGATAAAACGGCCAAAGACCATAAGTCTCTGGGTGCCAGGGACCCAAATATTTGACCCATTTGTGGCAAGGTTTACCTATTATGTATGACAGTCAAATCGAGTAACTTCCTATATTTAAAATTGGTCAAACAGCAAATGTTTACTAAACCAAGAACCATCAATGGCCATTTCAGGTACCTAGAATGGAGGTAGCTATCCATGTTTTTAGGGTCCTGAAATTCCCATTGAATCAACACGGTAAAAATAAAGAAGGGCGTATGACCGTTCAAATCCCATTAGATCTCAAGTATTCCCATTATCATATATAATATAATGTGCATGTCATTGTATGTATAATTCCCAGTATATTCCCATGGTTTATGGGGTTTACCATATGAAGTTATCAACTTGGCCTTCGGCAAGTTGACTGGTTCTTCGAAACGCTGCCTTCTCCTTGAGTAGCGCCAAGAGATCTTTGCCCTCGACTGGCTCCTGTATGATCCACGGGAAAACATCAAGGAGTCGATGTTTGAAGCTGGCAGTTTTGTGGTAAACCATCCCATACTTAGATGGGCCATGGAGTTAGGGAAAACTAGTTAGTAAGTGGATTATAATTGGGATATAGGGTGTAACAAATCCCCAGTTACTAACCAGGAATCGCTAATCCCATGGCCCATCTAAGTATGCTCCATGCATGGTTTATGCAAACCTACATAACTGGGTGATAAATTGTTTGGGTACATGTTGGTGTGCATATTCCAGCACCATGCTTCGCATTTGGGCATGGTAAACCCAATGTCATAATCTATGTTCAATACAGGTTTTATTACTAGGTATACCTATACCGGCCCTATTTCGGATGGTTTATGATTGGCTTTACCTCGTTAAAAAAAAAAAAAACAAGACGCCGCAAGGAACATGATCGAAAATGATGATCGAATCTCCTGGAAAAATAAATCATGTCAAACAAGTGCTTTTTGGGGGGTCACCCTAGTTTCAAAGCAAACCCATATCTGGTTGGTCGTATACCTACCCCTCTGAAAAATATGAGTTCATCAGTTGGGGTTTTTATTCCCAATATATTGAAAAATAAAACATGTTCCAAACCACCAACCAGATATGGTGTTTATGTTTCAATACTCTGCACATACCGCTTTGCACTTGGGGAGATTTTTAACATGGGTGCAATAGGGTCAATGCACCAATGCCCAGCAAAGAAAACTTTCGATTTGGATGATTCATCCATGCAAAGCTTAAGACAATGTTCTTACCATGACATGCACGAGTTTGTTTTTTACCAACTAAGCAACAATTACATACTTAGTCATGTTTTGCCATAAACCATGTCATGTTTTGCATCCACTTCCAAAGTACACATATTTGTGTGTGTGTGTATGCGTGCCATTTCCAGAAAGGGAATTGCTGATACACCACAATTTCAGGGCTACTTCGGAAGGAAGTGGATACACAATTGGTACTTCCAGTACATTGCAAATATGTGTACTTTGGAAAACACCACTTACTTTCAGGGTCTATTGGTTTAACGGTTTCAGCTTTCCCAGTGACGTTTCACCACATGTTGGATGCAAGAAAGCTCTAATCCTTAAGTCTGTGAAACCAATGCGAGTGTGGGGCCACCATCATATCCTGCAAGCAAAAGATTGAATTGACTATACACATTATAACATATAGCAACCCCCAAATAGATAGAACAGTTAGAAAATGTTAGGAACGTGGAACTATGAGGAAAAATCATCTTTGACACCCTGAAAACACGTTTCTATCCGTTTGGGGATTACTATTATATATTGATGAAGTGTCTGAAAAATGGAAAGGCATTGAAAGAAAGATCAGAAAGTCAAAGCAGGACACGGATCATCTCCAAAAAGGCCCCCGTCATGGCCAGTGAGCACAGAAAACATAGAAGGCCATCCTCAATCCAAACATGTTTTATTCCCAGCAAAGATGGAAACAAAGAAGTACCCAGGCCCCTCAAAATGATTCAAAATGCTGGGATACGCACCACATACGCACCACCAAAGTGTCGTGTACTCACTATATTTTGTGCGGGGAAGGTCACAGTCACAAATAGTTGCAGTTATGGCCCAACTAACACTTATAAATGGGATGAACTAACTCCTATAACTGAGATTATATATGATTATATGTCATTATAAGCCCATTCAAAGCTGTTCCTTGGGCCGTGAAAATTTAGCAGCCACTCAGCCCACCATCCCCAACACCCCGGACTGGGATTGCCCCTCCGGCAGCAAGGAATCCACTTGAACATCAGAAAGTTCCAGCCTCAGCAAACGACCAGGCTTTCCGCCCAGGGAAAGTTAGCCTGTAAACTAAAATTTTCACTCAAACACATGTGGAAAAGCCATGGTTTTTTTCAAGAAAAAGGATCTTCAAATGGTGGATTTTTCCGTATGGGATCCAACAGGACTCCAAATCCTGAGCTAACAAAGGGGTGACCCCAAGAAAAACGGCTACAGGTATGGCCCAACTAACACTTCTAAATGGGATGCTGGGATGAACTAACTCCGATATAACTAAGGTTACGTGGAGATTTCCTGAAATGGGGGTACCCCATTTCATAATCCATGTTATTTCCGGATTTCCCTATGGGGGTACCCCCATTGACCTCCATATACCATCATGAATCATGAACTGTTTATCCCAAAAAAATGAAATAAACCCATTTACAGTACAGTCTCTAGATTATGATAAACATACAAAAAACTATGGAAACTCACCATGTTTAGTGGCTAAATCATATAAAAAACTATGGAAACTCACCATTTTTAATGGCTAAAGCAACTGTTTAGAGCTGTTAGTTGGGCCAAGCGGCGTCAGACCAAGCTCGCGCGCCAGAATGAGAGACTTCTTGGCGGTGTCAAAACCGGAGAGATCTTCCTAACGGCGAGATTTTTGCGGCGAAAAAGATGGAAAATCATGGGATTTAGTGCTGATATTGCATGGGATTTAGCGGTGATTTAATAGACTTGAATGGGAATTTAATGGAGATATAGCCCCTGGTAAACATACAAAAAACGATTGAACATGGCCATAGAAATAGCTGATTTAGCCATGAAAGATGGTGATTTTCAATAGCTATGTTAAATTACCAGACGGTATATGGGGAAAATACATAATATAATTATATATCGCCATAATTGGATACAATTTATCGGATCCATTTTCCGTATCCAAAATGCTTTTGGAGGAACATGATCCGATATTTGGATACAATGATCCAAAAGCATGGTGTATAATGAGAAACAAGTGACATGGTTGTCGTACGGGTTTAGAATGGTTTCCCAAGAACAAATGGAGATCCAATTCATGGGAAATCATTCCCATAATGATGGTTGAATAAGGTTGAATAATCTTAAATATTGTTATATAAGGTATATATGATTTATATGTATATTGTATGATATTGTTAACATGGTTTATAATATGGTTTCATATGGTTTACTGTATTTGTTTGCTGTATTGATGTCATCAACAGGGAAAATTGAGATATGGCATATGATCCAATTGTATACCTTCTGGTAGTTTATTATAGCTGATGAACATGGCCCATTTAGTGCGGGATTGAGTTTTTAGATATGTAAAGATTCTGATATCTGAGATATCTGATAGAACACGACGTGAAAAATGATCGAAAGATTCAAAAGGATGATCCAAAAATGTCCAAAACAGGATATTCCATCAAACAATCTGGGATGATCGATCTGGGATGATCGATGATAGACCTGATATCTGATAGAACTTTTTCGGACATCATCCCCAGCAAAGGATGGTCCAAAAGCAGGACCGATAGGCTTTGCAGTAAGTGGCCAGCAACTTTGGAGAGATGTACCCGGCCTGGTAAACGTTGACATAGCGAACTGGAAAATCACCATCTATAAGAGGTAAATCAACTATAAATGATCATTTTCAATAGCAAAAGTAACAAATTACCATGAGGATCCATGAGGGTATTTTGATTATTTTGATTGATGTCTTTCAAAAGAAAGTACAACAAACAATTGAGATACCGCCAATGAAACTTCAATGATCACCTTTGATAAACTGCTATTGATTGCAGGTCGGCTATTTTTAGATTCCAAACGGATGACAGTTCTTGGTCGGTGACTATCACCATGGCTGCCATGGCTCGTGTTCTTAAAGGATGATCGATACGTTAAAATCACCTATCCCATATGCTCCATGTATGGTATATTTACCTACATGACTGGGTGATTTTTAGGGTAAATGTTGGTAAATATTCCATACATGGAGCATTTGGATATTCAAACATGGCAGAAACATGCAGCGACACCACGAGTTAAGCAATCATGGCAACTCAGGATATGGTGAAGGGAAACAAGTGATCTTCACACAGCCAAGCTCTGACATAGCGCAAGCGAGGCTCTTCTGAATTCGTCGCCGTTAATTGGCGTTCACCTGCAATCGTGAGGCAGGATGAAGTGGTGAAAATGAGACGATTTGCCAGAAAATCCACTGCTGGAATGTTCTCCGAACCTGAAGGTAGTAGCATGATAGTATACAACTAGGTAGAAACCGCTCATTTCATTGGTTGAAGTTGACGTACAACCAATCTACTAGAAACAACTTCTGGGATCATTGGGAGTAAAACGACTATGCATAACTGCACCACTGATGTTTCATGGTGGTTGCAGATTGTGGCATACCCATTCTGATACACGGATGGCAACAAGAGGTTACCTTTTACCTAGTACAAAATATGTACAGTAGATTGATAAGATCAACAATATATATATATATAATATTATATAATATTATATAATATTATAAAATATAATAAATAATAATAATAATAAACATCATAAAACATCCATCATAAATATATTATGTTTTTGTTTTACGTGAATCTGTAACATGTCCACGTTCCTTTCATCATCGTCGACCAAGGCACTTGCGAGTTGGTATGCCTGGCTAAAAGGCATTTCAGGATCCGCATTGAGCTGGTTAAAGGCTAAGCTCAGGGTGCCTGACAGCACACCGGTCCTCGGAAAGCGGAAGATCGCCCTGGGATGTCAGCAAAACCAAAGTGTAAAAACACATGTTCACTATATATAGTTTGCAACATGTATATAAGTTATATATATATATATACATGCATATATAGAAATACATGTATATGTGCATATATATGTATATGTTTGTATACATGCAAAAACATACATGCATATGTACGTAAACCTACCGATCCTCGTGGGATGATTGTGGCCCTTCTCTATATGCCGAGCATCAAACTATCTATTCGATCGCCGGTCTGCAGCAAATCCTGAAGCCTCAATGGCGAAAAGCAACGAAAAGCACGCCGAATAGGGTTGAATAGGGGTATGGATGTGTGCTTGTTCACATTGCCACTCGTAGGCCATGATACACAGCTAAACCTGATCAATATGTATATATATATATCATTATGTCAATATTTGCAATTCATGTATATACTATGTATATATATAATATTATCTTCTATATTTGTCTCCTCCAGCTACGGGTTGGAAACTGAAATTGTTTTTCTTTTAAACATAATTCATCGATTAAACCATTTACCAACCACTCAGATAAAGCTTTTCCTGCGAGACGATGCACGTCCGTCCTTTCCCGTACCAGGTAGCAGTGTGATGATGGGAATCTGTCCTCCCACGGTTGCATCATAGCGGAACTGTGCCCCACCAAATTTGCCAACATTTCCTCGTGGCCAAAAAACATGGTGGGAATCTGAAAACCAAGGGAAGCCGAGTTTAGATTATTTACACACCTAGATCCTCCAAGTACCCTAAAAAATGGTGAGTCTTACACTTTAACCCCATCAATTTAGTATCTTTTAGATTTTGTTTTGGGGGTAGTTGGTGGGTTTAGGGATTATATAAAATCCACTAATCAAACGTGGACATGGAAAATGACCCATATTTAATCGTTGATTTCCCAACTACAACCATGGGACTATAGGCTAGCTACCGGTAAGCACACAATAACTGGAAAAAGGTACCTGGCAGCCCCATTTGGGACCATTTTTTCTGGGTGGAGAACCCACTTCGCCAAAATTCCAGTGGTTATTCAGTGGCTGCAAAATCAATCGGCCACAACAAAACCCGGCCCATTCAGTTTGATGATTCAGCTATTCAAAATGGGTGGGTTTTCCACAAAACGAAAACTGCTGGTCATCACCAGGGTGAACGTCACTCCCCAAGTTGCCAAGGCTCCCACGTGCTTGAAGCATTCCTTGTAATGCTCGTAAGGGCCCACCAAAACTTGTCGATTGGGAGTGATGATGTGAAAGCCACGCTGCAACCAGTCAGGATATCTTGATGCTACCTGGTAGACCGGCGTGTTACGCCAAATTGGGTGAAGACGTGGGGATTGAAATAACCATCCGTGTGTAATACTGCCTACCCTCTGGTAAACAAACATAGCTATTGAACATGGCCATTTATAGTGGATTTACCCATTGAAAATGGTGATTTTCCATAGTTATGTTAGTTTACCAGAGGGTAATACTCCCTATCTTATATGACCCTAGCACATGCTATTGCCGGATGGTTCATAAAGCTTACAACATGATTCCAAAAAATTGTCATTTATGGGGAGAGTATGGGGAGATTGGCTAGTGGGGCTGCTCAGTTTCTCATCCAACTCTCTCTATGCCAGGGTGCGAGGTGAAAGTTGCAACCCATTTCAACAGGTTTCTTAGCACAATTTAAAGCCACACGGACCACATATTTGGCCATGTACAATGTACATCATACAACTGTATACAATTGTGGATTCCTCATTTCAACTCATACCCACGTAACATTAGAGCTTATGTGACAACTGGAGGAGGGTGCAACCTTAATCACACTTTCAAAAGGTTCTGCTCAAATTGGTCGTCAGAGAACCGCATTACTGGTGCCATTGCTTTCTGAAGGTTCAAATCGTTCTAATCAAAGCCACATGACCTACCTTCTTGCCATAATCTTGCGACAGAAAACACCGCAGTTTCAACGGCTGTTTTCGGCTCACTCTACAGCCATACTCGATGGCCAACCCATTCAACCCACAGATTGGTTGAAGTGAACAGATTACTCGGAAACTGCCTGGTGTGTTCCTGTCAAACATCAAGTCTCCCTTTAGCCTTTAAGCCCTTTTAATAGTCTACTTGGGGATCTTGGGGACGTACGGACTATCATCCTTTTATATCCGTTTATAAATAATGATTATATACAAGGTGGTGCCCCCCACTTATCAGTTGGTTTACAACATGTTAAAAACCCTATCTACAGTAACTATAGGTATCAAACATAATTACCATAGTCCAATAGTGAATTATGAAACCCAGTTATCATGAACTATAGATCAAGTGAACTTACTTCCAAACCGACTCAGCTAAGTAGGGCGTATCACACAACTTCTATGGTTTTCTCAACACTCTGCGGCCCCCCCGTCAGGTCGTCAGGTCGCGGCTTCAGAGTCGGTACAGTCCACGATGATTTTCCGCGGATACTCCTCGCAGGGTGGCCGCCATAGACACATCCATAAAAATCATCCCATGGTCTCCGTAAGTACTTAATGTATGTTAATGGGGGAAAACTATAGTCATACTGGTTGTTGGTATACCTACCCTGAAAAATCATGGAGTGAACATCAGTTGGGATGATGACATTCCCAACTGGATGGGAAGTCATAAAATTCATGTTCCAAACCACCAATCAGTATAGTTAATTTCATTGGTTTTAAAAACAACTTACAACAACTGGTGGGCCTCACCTTGTGGTTTTCATAATGGTGAACGCACAAACGTGTTGGCAAGTGGATTAGCTCAGTGTGGAATAATCCAGTCGCAATCATGGCTGATCTCAACCCTGCAAAAAGAACAGCTGGCCTATCCATTGAGTCATTTTTGGCTGGTTTTTTTTTGGGGGGGCAATTTACGCTTGTCATCCCGATATATTTCAAGGGAAAAACCATGGTTGCCTGTAGATGTGCCCTTGATCCAATCCAATTATTGATTGATCTCGTCTGCGAAAGAGATTACAACTACCCAATGATTGACCCGAGATGGGCGTCTCGGCCCTTGAAAGGTTGGTGCTCGCGTCAATGGAATGGGTTTAAGGGAAAATCAACCAGAAACCATGTTTTTGTTTATGTGTTTTTAAATGGTTTTGACCTTCAAAATGTAGCCCTTTCCTGTATATGTTCCCTTCATCCAGGACCCAGTTCTGGGATCGTGTCATGTTTCATCTTCAACATATTCAACGCGTCTTTAGGTCTTCGCAGTTCTTGGAACCCATAAAAACTTCCCTACAATGTGGTGCCCCCTAGTTATAAATTGGTTATAAACCCCATGAATACTATAGTTATTTGCGTACCATAAACCATAGTGAAACTGGAGTTATTTGCACCAACTTAACTATCCCATGAATACTATAGTTATAATAGTGAAATACTATAGTGAAATACTATAGTTTAATAATCCCCATGAATACTATAGTTATAAACGCACCAACTTAACTATCGTAAACGGGGGCACCACTTCCCTCGCATTCGACTCCGGCCCCAGATGTATACATCAGTGACCTTCGACTCCGTGAACTCAATGAAGGCGTCCAGATTCGAGTCAGAGACCTCCGTCTCACTTGTGAAGTCCTTGCCTCGGGAAAAGTTCTAAACCTGGAAATTATGTAGACATCATCGAAGTACCCTCCTTTAAGAGACAGTTTTTTGATGTTTTCGGCATCTGGTTGCATATATATATATATAATTGTATATAGTGTATATATATAATATTATATATACTGTATTTATATTTATATTTATATTTATGTTTATACTATATTATATTATATTATATTCTATCACACTATATTATATTATATCATATGTTATATATATATATACATAAATCCGTGTGAAAATGGATTGATCATCATTCCCCAAGGATTGGGTATTCACTATAACTATTGACGAAGGCACATATGGAAAAGGGAACGAGCTTTGAGTTTGCCTCAAAACAGGGACTTGATGGGACTTACCCAACAAATTTGCGGGGATGCAAGCCAACCATTTTGTGGGAATATCTACTGGGATATAAAACTACCAATATGACTTTGGGTTTGGTACCTGAAGATTGGTGATTTACCGCCCCAATCAAAATTGCCAGTACAGTAAGTTTTAAGTAATAGCCTATTTTCAAACTAATATCTGAAAACTGATAGCTAAATTGATACACCACTATATGAATATTTGATTAATATACACATAAAGTAAAATTACATACCAAAGTGGCAGGAGTATTATGTATATTATATATATATACACTGAGACAAACAAACGACATAATGTTTTAGCCATATTGTCCGTTACACACCCAGCTATATTTCATATCCTAATATTGAATGCCTCCATCCTACGGTCCGTCCCCTACAAACATAAATGTTTATGGGGTCAAACCAATTATTGGGGTTGAACTTATTTTGATGGTACCATTGATATTCATTTGTCAATTTATCTTATAATATATCTTAATCATATCGGTTAGATCATTGTATCCCCATGATATACATTGATAATCATTGATATATAGATATAGACTTGTATTGATTAAACTTTCTTAACCATACCCAGGATACTGTATCCCCATGTTTCGCAGCTCCAGACTGATGCACGCCCGCACGCCCTGACCTGACAATCATGAACCCCACCGAGCTGCCCTCGATCTTTCGAAGGTCCAAGCTGCCATCGGCGATGTGCCTGGTCAAAGAACACAGCAAGGATTACATATCACAGCACTGCTGGTGGATCCCACAACATGTCAACATCTTCCATGCGAAATCCGCGAAATCCTGCACCAGTGAATAGGTGGTAAACATCCCTATGATTCCCTATGTATTTATAGGTTTTCTCTGGTTTTCGACCATCGCAGGTGCAGGATTTCGCTAAACCATCCTCCAGGGATGCATCCCGCTAATATCCACGTGCGAACCATGGTGCTGGTATATGCACACCTACATGACTGGATGATGAATTGTTTGGGTAAATGTTGTTAAATATTCCAGCACCATGGAGCATTTGGATAGTAGGTACTAACTTAGCTCATCCTAATGTTTGCGCTGATTTCAGCAAACCTTCTGAATTCCGAGATTCTTGACAAGTCCTTCAGATTCAAGCATGTGAGCATGTTACCACTGTCATTTGTGTTTGGATGTCACCCAAGCTGGGTGTATCTGAAAACGGGTATGCACGCAATTTATATAATGTATGGCTAATTTAGGAAGCTTCTTTTCTTTTGAACCAATGATGTAAGGGTAGCTAGCCTATCTCGAGATAAAGCCATAAAGCCAAAAAAATGGATTTCAAGTCCAAAGAATGGGTACTTAGATGGGCCATGGGAAAAACGCGATTCCTGGTTAGTAACTGGGGATTTTTCCATAACCCCCAAAAAAACCCAATGAAATAATCCACTTACTAACTAGTTTTCCCTAACTCCATGGCCCATCTAAGTATAGCTTACCGGAAATTGACGGTGAAATGGGTGAAATGGTTCCAACATGTTCCAGCCATCTCCAAGCGGCTCCCCAGGCATATTGTCAGCTACATATATACCATCACTAATATGTTACGGATACCCTCTGGTAAACTAACGTAGCTATGGAAAATGGCTATCTTTATAGGTAAAACATCTGTAAATATAAATGGAAATAAATGGTCCATTTTCCATAGCTACCTTAGTTTTGTTACGGATATGGAACAACAGGAACTTTTCCAGCTGCGCTGGAAGGCAAGGTGCTTTTCCAGCTCCGCCAATGGCAAGCCGCGTTGTGCACAGAACATCTTATTCCTCGCCGAGGGCCAAGGGATTTAACAACAATTGGGGATTCATGGGAGCAAGCGAAAAAAACCAATGGATTTATACAAGGTGGTGCCCCAGTTCGTTAGCTAAGTTGTTGCAAATAACTCCCATAACTATGGTTTATGGCAGATATAACTATAGTTAATGGGGTTTATAAACCAACTTATAACTGGGGGGCACCATCCTGTAGCTGATTGGTGGTTGAGCCTACCCCTCTGAAAAATATGACTTCGTCAGTTGGTATGATGACATTCCCAATATGATGGGAAAAATAAAAAATGTTCCAAACCACCAAACAGATAGGCAACCGCTTGAAGGGGATATAATGGACTAATTATACAATTTCATATTTTGGATCATAAGATACCCCAAAATTGCAACTTCACGGGGCAAACAATGATCAACCATGATTTTTGTCCACTATTTTTCAGACCAAATTCTATACGTGAGGAAATCAACAACACATGGATACAAATAGGGAATTGCAACAAATAGGAATTTAGCTGCTACTTTAGCCAGCCAAAAAGAAACTGGTTGGTGGTTTTAACCATGTTAAAAAATATTAGTCAATGGGAAGGATTATCCCATATATTATGGAAAATAAAATATGTTCCAAACCACCAACCAGTAAAATGGTCCCCAAAATGTGTTTTTATCATATATACGTTTTTTTTAATAGCGGGATGGGAAAATTCAATATCAGTCGCCAGCAACCCTGAAGAATTGGTGCGGAGTGCGCATCAACAATCATCAACATGTAATCAACAACAAATAAAACTGCAAGACTTGCAAGTTGCGATTGGATACCCTCTGGTAAACTAACATAACTATGGAAAATCACCATTTTTGATGGGAAGATCCACTATAAATAGCAATTTTCAATAGCTATGTTAAATTACCAGAGGGTAATTGAGTATTTCATCGTCCCGGCCTGAGAGTTTTAGGATCATGTTTGCTGACCATCTCGGATCAGCTGAAGCATGAAACATAAGGGGGTTTTAGCATCCTGAGAACAGCTAACTGCTAACATTGCCCCGTTGGCTGACATGATGTACCCCGTTAGTTATAAGTTATAAGTACCATAAATAGCTACCCTCTGGTTATTTAACAGGGATTTATGGTGGTTTAATGGGATTTAATGAGATTTAATAGGATGTACCCTCTGGTTATGACTAACATTTCGCCATGGTGGCGCCATGGTGGCGCCATGGCCCCAATCGAAATAGATTCGATTTTCCCAGCGACAGAAACCTCCATTTATGGTTGGGATTTTCCATGGTTGTGGATCAACGGGACAGGGCGTCGCTGGCTGGAAAGGCCCATTTCAGTATACAACATTAGTGTAAAAGTAAAACGGTTTCCCCATCTAGGAATGGTTGTGTTTGAACACAAGTCATATATGCCCACCCATATGCACCATATCCATCCATATCTATTGTTTGCCAGTGCATTTGAGAAGCAATCCGAATCATACCAGTAAAAAAAACGAAGAAACTCACACGAAAACAATGTGAAATTGGCTCTGCACATAGAAATTTGGTGCGTGTTGATGCTAAATTACCAACATCAGGTCATAGGGGCTCTCAAATTTGACCCAACATGACCCAACCCAAATTCTATCTTAAGTATGTTGCTGAATCATGGAAAGTTATAAAAAAGAAGCCTCCCATGGATTCTTCCAAGATTCTTGTCACACAAAGCTCGGAGGTCAATTGTGAGGTATTGCACTTCGCGCATGGATGGCAGCGAAAAGTCACGTCCCTCATTGCTTTCCTTGGACGCAATGATGGTGGAATCGCAAGGCGCAAGACGAATGCGAAAAAGGCGCTGCCCCAGGGAAAGTTAGCCAAAGATGGTTTGTAACTACAACAACGATTAGTTTACGGTAGATATATTAATATATGATATCATATAATATATGATACAGGATGGTGCCCCCCAGTTATAAGTTGGTTTATAAATCCCATTAACTATAGTTATATTTGCCATAAACCATAGTTATGGTAGTTATAAACCAACTTAGCTAACTATGGGGCACCACCTTGTATTAATATATATAATTATATATATACGTGGAAATTATGTGGAACTAGTTAAAGGTTTTTTATTGACCAACAAATATGACTGGAGGGCACCACATTGTCGTTTCTATGGCTTCGCCATGGTATGTCGTCTCAAGTGCGACTACTTTTGTTCACCTTGAGTTGCACAGAAAAGTCGACATATCCAAATAATGTCAATAGCACTATTTTCCACAACGCTTCCTAGAAAGTATATATAGAAGGTTCTAGTTATATATGATTTATTAATATAATATATATATATATATTATAGTGAGTTCTGCGTGTGTAAGTTCTTCAGGCATGTCTCGGTTGGTACCATTTCGGAAACATACGAGGAGAAGACATGTTTTGGAATGTCGTCTTCCCAATTCTGCAGATGTGAAATCAATCATTTAATCAGCCCCAAGGAGTACCCAAGAATATCCAAGACGTATGAATGACCCAAACAAAACAAGGTGTGTCTGTGACTCATTACCCTCTGGTAAACGTTTACGTAACTATAGAAAATCTCAATCTTTCATGGGTAAATCCACTGTTTCAACTGGGCCATGGCTTCCAGTTAGCTAACTTTGTATGGGATTACCAGGCCGGGTCATTTTCATCGCTTTTTAAGTGGTTCTGGAGATCATCCCAATCCGGGAAAGTTTGAGCCCCCGGTACAAAGCCAGCCTATCTTATGGTTCAGCCCCATGAAATCCCATGGAAAATCCCGTAAAAATGGAAAATCCCATGGAAAATCCCATGAAATCCCATCAAATCACCATGTGTTCCCTTTAAATCCCAATGTAAACCCCACTATATAAATCCCATTAAATCCCCTCAAATCCCATCAAATCATCATGTTTTCTCTATAAATCCCAATGTAAACCCCATTAAACCCCATAAAATCCAACAAGATTTGAATGTTTTCCTTTAAAAATCCCCAATGTAACGTCCCAGGCTTCGCCGCTTCGTCCGGGCGTCCCATGCCTTCAGCTTTTGTAGGAAGGCCGACCCAACACGACCGCTACCAATCCTTGGATCTGCAAGAGCCATCCCAAGCGCTACGAAAAAAAGGTATAGCACACCCTGCAGGATGGTGCCCCCCAGTTATAAATTGGTTTATAAACCCCATGAATACTATAGTTATTTGCGTACCAAAAATCATAGTTACTGGAGTTAGAAACCAACTTAGCTATCTTGGGGGCCCCACATTATTAGTTATGGCCATGTATTAGTTATAACTGGTTATTTCTATGGGATTATACAATCTATAAATGTGGTTATAAGTATACTTATAACTGGTATTTCGGGCCATAACTGTGGTAAGTATGGAAAATTGATGAAAATTTCATATTCATAGACAAATTATATCAATTTATGATGATTTAACAATGATTTACGAATCAAAAATTGTGATTACACCCCCAGTAAACTAGCATAACTATATGGAAATCACCATGTGTCTAATGGGTAAATTGTCGAACTAAATGGCAATTTTCAATAGCGGACTGTTCAATTACTGGAGGGCAACGTATACCCTCTGGTGACTTTGAACATGGCCCATTTAGTTCGTTCGTTGACCTATTGAAAGCGGCAATTTTCCATAGCTATGTTAGTTAGTGTACCAGAGGGTAGTCACCCCCAGAATGCTTGGTTTCGAAGAATGGATCAACCAACCAGTGGATCAGTGGGACATCGCTGATTGGAACAAGTCAAGCTTTAGGATATAGCATGATATTTCAATCCACTTCATGGAAATAGCCCATGAAACGCTACCTACCATTCACATTCACCAGTTGCTGTGCCTCGTCGATTGGCAGTTTGCTCAATCTGAGAGTCCCCGTTGAGCAGTTGGTTTTCTGACCCTGCAGCAGTTGGTCCATCATATTTACTGGGTACCACTGGTGCTTCATCACACGAATCCTAAGTAGGTTACCTATAACGCTGGTGAATTCAGTGGGATAAGTAGGTTTAATCTACTTTTAACCAGGGTTATAACCCACTTGCTAACTGGGATGAACCACCAAGTATATATTATATATATATATAATTTTATATACAACAATTCACTAACTTGAAGAGTTCGGCAGTTTAGAGTAGGCCGAAGGATCACCATGACTGGACCAGATCACCAAACACAGTGAAACCCCCATCCATTAGATGGCAAAACTATGTCAAAATCCCATGTTTGATGGTTACTGTACATCAAATTATATCGCTGCCATTCACAAAAAAGCCGCTGGCAACCTGTCTCTACCTGGCCAAGTCTCACACTAACAGAGACACAACTCTCCTTCAGGAGAAATGCGTCGTGCGTGCCTTTCAGCGCTAGCCTCATCCGAAATTAGACGTAGGGCACCACCAGATACCACATGCACCATGTGGGGATGGGTTCGGATATATGGCATGATAGGTACTGATCCATAAACATATCTGTTGTTTTTGTTCAATTCACGAAGCTGCAAGCCTCGCCACATTAGGGCAGTTGCTGTTGGTTTAATTTGTATTTGGTGAACCACCATAGGTTGAGATTTAACATGTTCAACATGTGCAAGAGATGCTGCCATGTTCTTAACTGAAACTGAACGGGTGTGGCCAAGCAGCCCGCGCTGTCGCGAGATTTGCTTGGATTTGCATAAGCATACAACATCAGTTACTATACAACATTAAAGATTGTATCATGCTGGATTATACATAGGGTATCCCGATTATCACCAGTTATACCCACATACATTACAGTACACTGCATTGCATCACCTTACATTACACTGCAATACCATACAAACAATACCATACAGTACAATACCATTCCATACCATTCCATTACATCTATAAATATATACAGATACAGTGTATATATATATTATACATATTACAATATATTACAATGATTTGCAATGTATCAGGTATAACAGTTTTAGCATACAAAGTGAATCCAAACAAAATAGACACATATTTCCAGCATGGTAGTTCAATGATGTTCACTGATGTTTACTCCACTACATCCGGGTTTCCAACTAAACAATCATTCTGAATCTATGCAAGCAGGTGGTTGTTCATAATATGTGTCTATAATATATCCCATGATGTGTCCATTATAGCTCTGCCAAGATCCATGGCCAAAGAAAATCAGCATTTTGGTTGGTTGAAACCTCCCAAGCGAAGTACGTATGTAAAAAGGCCATCGTGATACCCTGCAACGTTGGTTTATAAACCAAATCACGATACATATTCCACCGTAAACCATCAAGGAAAACCAAAAAACAAGTTAAGCTAGTCATAAAACCAACTTAGCCATCCCCCCCAGTTATACCAACTTAGCTATCGCCCCAGTGATAAATGCCCCTTATTTTCCCCAACCATTTGACGCGTCACGGCCGAAGAATGTGCGCCACGAGAAACCCCAATTCATCCCTGGAGACCACTGCGGAGATATTTCGCTCGGAGGAACCCTGGGCGATGGCCACCTGCGGGCGCTCGCGGCGGTCGCGGAGCAGGTCGTGGAAAAACTGAGCCACGCTGAGCTTTCGCAAAAGGACCGAAAAAACAAAAATTGAAACAACAGAATTTCTTGATGCCGGCAGAATTTTAGATTTCCACAATGAACATACGTTGTTTTGTGACGATTTGTGACTGACAGAAATTTAAGCAAGACAGGGAGCTTGGCCAACAGAAATTATGATTCAAGCAGAAAACATGTACGTAACCAAATATGGCAAGAACGCGCACGTGGGGAGAGGAGAAACGTACCATCGGAAAAATAGTCATGGACCACCACACCACTCGGAAGCGATGTTAAAGATGTTTTGTTTGTTTCGGAGTTTAATTTGAAAAAAAACAAGTACCAATAAAAAATGACATCAGTTTACAGTTTATTTGATATTTGATATTTGTTTGTTTACAGTTTATTTGTTTCGGAGTTTAACTTTAATTTAATCTTGTAAATGTGTCTGCTTCAAAAGTGTCTCAGAAAGACCAAATCAGAAAAAAACATGTTGCTGGTTCAAACATGCTCAAATGCCGATCCCCATCTTAAACAAAGCTATTAAAAATGGCCCAGTCGAAATAGTTGATTTAGCGTTTACCCATGTTTGCCGATGATTTCCCATATATCAATGGGAATTTCAGGATCCTAAAATGGAGGTACTGTACCATATAAGGCCATATTTTGGGGGAATATTCCCGTAGGCCTGAAAAATAGGCCTTATATATGGTACAATGTGGTACCCCCCAGTTATAAGTTGGTTTATAATCCCCATTAACTATAGATATAACCCCCATAAACCCTAGTGAAATTGGACTTATAAACCAAGTTAATTAGCTAACTATGGGGCACCACCTTGTAGGTACCTCCAATGAATCGGTTCCTGGAATGGCCATTGAATATAGTTATGCAAACGTTTACCAGAGGGTAAGTGTACTTGGTGGCTCCCCCAGTTGCGCCGCTTCTTCAGGCCAGAGGGACGATATTGACTTTGGACTGGCCCAGAGCATTGAAGAAGCGGCCAGAGATGCCCGCGTAGTTCTTCCTCGGGAAACCACCAAATGATGGCAGATTTGATTGAGTTCACCACCAAAAATGAAGATTGAATCAGATTTAACCATCCAAAATGAAGACAAACAAGTCGATTTAATGGGATTTAACCAGGAAAAATAAGGATAGACCCAATCATCTCTAACCTGGCGTGCTGGAAATCATCCGTTGGCTTCAATAATTAATCTTTCAAACAACATCAAAAGTAGCCTTCGTTCTTTGATATCGTACTTCAACAGATATCTACTTAGATGGGCCATGGGATTAGCGATTCCTGGTTGGTAACTGGGGATTTGTTACCCCCAAAAAATCCCAATGAACTAATCCACTTACTGACTAGTTTTCCCTAACTCCATGGCCGATCCAAACTTTTGATGATTCACCCTCTGGTACCCTCTGGTAAACTAACATAACTATGGAAAATCACAATTTTTCATGGGAAAACTCACTATTTCAATGGCCATTTTCAGTAGCTATTTTGACATAACCAGAGGGTTTTCTGCCTGTCTTAGCCATGGCGGAAACCCCTTTGGCTTGGACAAAAACCGCAAGGCCCAGCATCATTCCCTCGCCAATCACCGCTAAAATGCTCAGGTCCTCCATGAGATTCGCGCGAGTTTCCTGCAGGATGGTGCTCCCCAGTTATAAGTTGGTTTATAAACCCCATTAACTATAGATATATCTACCATAAACCATAGTTATGGGAGTTATAAACCAACTTAGCTAACCATGGGGCACCACCTTGTGGGCTTTTGATGGTTTTTGTACAACATTTTTGGACAGAGAAGAGAGATAGGAATGGGATATGAATGGTTTATGAATGGGATATTAATGGGATATAATACGGGAATATTTCTAGGATATGATATCTGGCTGGTGGTATACCACCCTCTGAAAAATCATGGAGTGAAAGTCAGTTGGGATTATGACATGACCCCAACTGAATGGAATTTCTCAAAAAATGTGTTCCAAACCACCAACAAAATATGAATGGGATATGAATAGGTGATCCTGTGGTGATTTTCATGATAACTGCATTTTGTTGTTGCCATTGTCGCCTTGTTGCTGTATCCTTTTAAGGAGATATGTTCTGCAAACTTACCGTGTCCGATGATGGAATTGTGGTGATGTAACTGGTGAAACTACGGTTACTCATCCACAAATGGAGGAAAGAAAAGAAACTCTGCTCAATGGTTGAGATGTGGAGCGAACCGCCACACTGCCGGGTACCAAAAACTGTTTGGCACCATTAAAAAAAATGATGATTTCAGTTTGTCCTAAAAATCCTCGTTGATGAGTTGTGACACAGAGGTAACCTACCTAGTTTATAGGCCACTGACTAGCCCACTGACATAGGAAACAGGATCGAAGGTCTGGTGGTGCCCTAGGCCCTGGGATTGGAAATTGACACGAACAGGGCGGGCCCCCCAGTTGCAAGTTTCTTTGTAAATCCATCAAAGTAAAGACTCATGGACTAGGTCCATGGGTCCATGTTCAACCCCTAGGCTAGGATATGTGTTTTTAGTTTGTATCTGTTTCAGGTATTCCCCAAAACTCCAAGTTTTTCGCGATGGATGCAATAGATTTGTCCATATTTGTCCACATCTGACCAATTTGGGGTCACCTTAAACCCATCACATCCCGGTATCGTTTGCAGTTTCTGTTGATTGATCACCGGTTTAACCTTTAGTGATTTAGCTGGAAAAACTGGAAATCGGAAATCATCCTCTTCAGTCACCATATGTCACCATTCAATCACTGGTTGGTGGTTCGAACCCCTCTGAAAACATTAGTCTGATTGGATCATCATCCCAACTATTGGGAAAAATAAACATGTTCCAAACCACCAACCATTCAATCACCATGTGTGTTGGTTCTAAATTCCGGAGGACTCCACGCCCACCGAGTCTCAGTGTTTCGGGCAATCTCCAATTGGAAGGCGTCTTCAACGGCCTGATCAGAGGGAAACCGACCAATGAAGGGAAGTCAAATAAGTGTTCAACTTAGACTTTCCAACTACACCCGAAAGGAAGGTAAATGTACAAAAAAACATTGGGTAAAACAACATTTTTGGAGGGTACAAACGTCCAGGAATATAGATAGTGATCATAGATATTGACAGATAGGATGATTTCATGGTGATTTAATGGTGATTTTATGGGGAGCGAAATGATTGACCACCGAAACACCATGGTAAATCGCCTTATGAATCGAAGTTCACCGTTCTCACCGTTCCAAATAGCAGGAGCCCACGATCTTCTTGGAGCACTGCCGTGAAGGTTGAACTTAAAACTGCTGGGTATCCAGAGCATAGTGCGCAGATCAAGCTGCGTAGCAAAATCTGATAAAACATGTGTGAGCAGAAACTATGTGAATGGTTCTGATGCTTATTCATGCTGATGTTTTGCAAAATGTTTCCAACATGTGATGGTGATGGTGATGGTGACGATGATGATGATGATGATGATGATTATGATGATGATTATTATTATTATTATCATGATTATCATGATTGTCATGATTATCATGATTATGAATGGTGATGGCACATGATGATGGATGACGATGACTGATGATGATGATGATGATGATGATGATGATGATATAACATTTATATATATAATATTACTATTAACATTTATTATATTGTCATTATTATTAATAATATATATATATATAATATTACTATTATTATTATTAAGAATTACTATGAGGATAAGGATTATGATGAGGATGAGGATGAGGATGATGATACTGATGAGGACGCTGTCACTGGAACCCAACTTTATAGTATCATTTGGGGGCGTGACAAACTATGCAAACATATAGGAAACAAGTGATTTATTGGGTATATCATATCCCTACTTGTACTTGGGACAGTTGAGAAGAACCCCCCAGTTGTTTTTTGTTTGGGTCTATGTAATCAAGTCCTTTTGGGCCTGTGAGGATACACATAATTATGATCATTTATATACATATTGATTGTTCGCTTGGGGTCACCCCTTGTCAATCAACTAACTAGTGGAACAAGGATGTCACGGAATTGGGTCTGCTTATTGGGTTTATCAGACTACTTACAGGTGCAGTTGAGGTTCATAAATGTTTTGTAGTGGGAATAACCATGGCAAGAACCATAGTTGGGATATAACTTCTATAACTGCCATATATACTATTTTACAAAGCAAATGCGGTGGAACTGCTCTCCCAAGTATCATATCTGTGTGCATATATCCCACAAAATATATATTAGAACATGTTTAGAACTTCCTATCTTTGTTGCCTAAAATCCCATTAAATTCATGACAGTACATCATCATACTAAAAAAAACAATATTCCCAAAAACAAATAGACATGTAAAAAATCCAGAAACATTTCCGTGATACATTCCTTTTCTTTTTGCGGGTTACACCTACTTGGTGGCTCATCCCACGAATCGTAAGTGGGTTATAACACCAGTTTTTTGAGTGGATTAACCCTACCAAAAATCCCATGTCAATCACTGCACCAGTTATAAGTGGATTAACCCTACAAAAATCCCATGTCAATCACTGGGGTGAACTCACTAACCCACAAAAACGATTCGTGGGTAGTTCGCCACCACTGATGGTTCAATGCCCCAGCAATCCCAGAGTTGCCTGCAGGGCCAACTTTCCATCCGTGTTTGCCACGGCCACAGAGATGGAATGCTCCGATGAACCCTGGCGAGAAATCGGCGGGGCGAACGACGAGTGAACGTTGGAAACACGGGGAGGTGATCGGGAGAAGGCCCACGTTAAATAGCCAGTTCCATTGTGATATATATATATATATTTCTGCAGTATATATATATATATATTTATACACAATATATTATATGGAATACATAACCAGTACACATATTAACCAGTTAAATGTCGTAGCTGGTTTTTCAAAAGGGTTGCAAGTTGTAAACTACTGGTTGTGGGGTGCAATGGGATGCACATCCAAGTGATTTTTCACTCTTTTAGAAATACAATTTGTATGGTGATTTCAAATGAGATATGTGAGCAGTGGCTGCTAGACCCCTCTTAATCATTATGGTTCTCTATCCAACCCAAATGCAAACCATGGTGCTGGAATATATGCACACCACCATTTACCCGAACAAAAAAAACACCCAGTCATGTAGGTGTGCATATACCCGCACCATGGTTCGCATATGGGCAATATATTGGGGGTTATCACAATCCATGGGTAATATGGAAACTTCCAATCTTTTGAATCCACCAAGTCAGGGGCACATTGCTTGGATGATGTATCCATGTCTTATTTGATTTCTGATACCAAAGAAATCCAAAGATCTTCAAAGCAACCACCATTCTTAGATTTACCCTTTGGTAAGCTAACATAACAATGGAAAATCAATGAAAATCACCATGTCTAATAGGTAAATCAACTAAACATGGCAATTTTCAATAGCTTTTTGTATGTTTACCAGAAGGTAAAACCAAACAAAGCTAATGAAAACAACCATCAACAACCCGATGAACGACCAGATGAACGACCAGAACTTCTCATCCCAAACATTGCATCGGATGGCTTACCCCGCAACGGTGTCATCAAGTCGTGGCTGGAAAAGTCAACCATTGTTTATAGGGAAATCATGGAAAATCGGAAACAACATGGGAATGTCGGTTTAGATACTATATTTTCAGTTATAAATATCCATGGCTAGCACGGGGATTTTCCAGCTAGCCACTGATGACACTAGAGATATTCTTGGCTCGGAGAATCCCACTCAACCAACCATCAACCAATCATTTTTGTACCATATATTCCAATATTTATTGGTCAAAATCCCATATATTCCAATATTTTTTGCTTAAAATATGTTAAAATCAAAATGAACTGATGCTTAAACCATCTTAAACCACCATATTCTCACCAGATCGCAGCTGCTCAAATGGCCGGCCGCCCGGCCCCCTCCTGGGAGGTCAGGATCACGTTCACCCCCACGCTGGCCAGCGCCGCCATAAACCGTTCGGCCACACCGTGGGTGCCTGGCGGCGAAGTCGCTGGCACGGGAATGTGGTGCACGGATGTTCCCAAGGATGGTAACATATTCAAGGATGGAAAAGTAAAATCTGTTCGATATACTGTTGAATCAAACATCCATTAAACATCCATATTACTAATCCATTTACCAACAAAAATGTCTGATGAATTACTGTTCGATATTCTTGTTGGTTTCTATCTGCCCCAAATAGAATCCCTGTCAATGATGTCCTTGTGACAAACATAGAGGCGCACGTTTGGTATACCATTTCACATCATTGGCCTATTGAAGGACGGCCCTCTATCAACCAACCAATAGGAAAAGGACATATGCAATACCTATACCATCCATATACCCATGGTATTCGCTTATATTCGCTTACTGTTGATCCACATGGGGATCATTTGGTGTGTGTTTTTGGCTAATTGCAAGTAAATAGACAAAACATGATGATCTGGGCCATAGATGCACCATCTGGGACGTGCATTATGGAGCCTACACGACGCTGAAGAAATGGAGGTTGCTATTGGCCGATTCTATCGCTAGAGATGATTGGATTGGCACTGGTGGAATCACGACATGTTTCCCACAAATCTCAAGGCCGACGTCCAACAAACATGAACTTGGACCAAAAAGGGTGCAGTTCCAGTTCATGTTTCCGTGATTACCTCCCACCTTATCAACTTCTGGTAGCCTTGGCTATTTCCAAAGTTGCCCCTATTAGACACCAAGGATGATCTGGAAATGACTGAACTCGTCACGGCGGTCACCGCGACCAAGGCACCCATGAAGGATGTCCCCGTGATGGTGATCAGGCTCACCTTCCTAGGGATTTTCGAGCTATTTCTTGGGACCACCGGTGGGTTCCAGGAAGATTTGGGGCAACAAGCATCTAGGCATTGGCCTTGAATCTCCATCGCAAACCTTAAGGTAAAAAACGCATGTCAGAACATCGATCGTTCTGAGGGGTCATGTTTTTCATGAATCCATCTAGAAAATTTTGGATGGAGAAGCTGCTGCATCATGGGGGAGTAGGGAAACTGCAGCATAGGGCATAGAGGCTTTTGTCAACAGTTCCTTTAGCACGCACTTACTTATAGGCCAATTTCATTGGAGTGTTGTTTCAACACACTGATTAATCTTTGCGTTACTTTGCATTGCCAAGGGGGTGTCTTCCAAAAGAAAAGTTCCACCGGCAGGGTTTCTTGTCTTAGGGCATCATCAATGGGTATTCCAATCGGCCCATCGTTCTCACGAAGAGTTTGCGTTCTCAGTAGGCCAATCGTTCTCATGAGAGGGATCGTTCTTCTGGTGGACTATATACTGCCTAGTTTTTTTTCCAACATGTTTTTGATCAAAAAAAAGCGAAGAAGGATCCGGGTGGGAATGGGTGTGATTGCTTTTAGGAGGGGAAAAAACAATTCTCCATTCTCAGCTGGCAATCGTTCTTCGTGACGCATCGTTCTCGAGGAAAGAAAATGAACGGTGTTGACCATATTTTTTCAGCTGAGTTGGGGCAGGGAACAGGAACGTGTACTTTTGTGCAACGTGCATGCATCGTACTCAGCAGCACTGCACGTTCTCATGAACACCGATCGTTCTCACGAACACCGCATCCATGGACTTGGGAGTAGACTGATTTGGGTGCCTAAAGCGGTTCTCCAAATCAATCATAAATTATTGCGTTGTTCCATATTTTTCCGTTTTTCCTTCCGGAATTCGGTTCATATTCAGCAAAGGATTACCTGAAATTTGACTACAGCAACTGTGTATGGCCTGCATAGGTTAAGATTCCTTTGGAAAGGGTTTGCATTTTGCACATTGCCTGTATGAAGGATGGTTAGTGTGATTTGTTTGGCATTCTATATGTTCATTCAATTTCATAGCAAATATCCAAAGTTGAAACAGCCCTTCGGAATGGGCAGGGTTTCATTAGAATGATGAAAATGAAGCCTGTCTTACAATGTGTCTCAAAATTTACCCAAACCCACCAAAACCATTGGTTTCCCAAAAAAACAATATGACCACTTTTAGATGATTTTAAGGCCCACCCGTTTTACACTCTCCACATAAGACATGCGTTATTCAATCTGTTCCTGTTTTTGTCATGTCACGTTCATTTGGCTCAAAACCACCACCATTTTTGTTCACTGGTCAATGAAACCCTGTATATAGCATGAAGTTTGATTGAACTTTGAAATTTGTTCTCTATACAGTACCTATCTTTGTTGCTGCTTGAAGACCATGTGACATATTCAGATTCAAAACTGGCTAGTTCCCAACTCCACTGCCACAGGTTTAACATCCAGTCACTAGGTTCTATTGGTTTTTATATATGTATAAATATGTATAAATTACAATTATGCCCCAAACCAGTTTAAAGTCTAAGGAACCACCAACAAGCCCTTCATAAAAAATCCCATGCACTGGTTGGTTCTAAATCCTGTCATGTCCTGTCTTGATCCGTACGAGCCACCTTTTTTGGGGGTGCCTATCGCTTTACAGGGTGTTGTTCAAATCAACAGTAAATAATGCAAAGATGCAGCGGCATTGGCTGAATTTGATAAGTCCCATTTATATATATATATATATAACTACAAAAAAGACCTAGGTTTACTTACATAACTATATGTATACAATGTATACCTAAAATATGGGAAACCCCAATTTGGGCATTTGAAAATCGGAAAATCATTATGGGGGATCATTATGACATTGTTGTACCCACATTAAATCATAATAAGTCCCATTTTTGATCAAAACAACTATAACATCTATAACTAGGTTTAGTTATATAGTTATATATAGTTATATAACTATATATTTATACCATTTTATACAAATGTTGGGAAACCCCATGTTTGATCCCTGGTTTTTGCCGTTGAAAAAAAAAGGATCCCACCCCCCCCGTTCTCGCTCGTCTGAGCATCTCGATGGAAGTGATGGCCTTCACCGGCATGTTCTCGTCGATCTCATCATCCTACGGCAACACATGGGGGTCCCGTCTCAGATTTGACCATGGGATAATTTACCCTCTGGTCATTTAACATAGCCATGGTAAATGACCCATTTATAGATGGTTTACCTATTAAAAATGGTGATTTTCCATGGCTATGTTAAATAACCAGAGGGTAGCTGATTTTGTTCGGGTACATGTTGTTGTGCATATTCCAGCACCATGGGATCCATGGGGCATCCAGGGGCGATGGGAGTTTTTATTGAGATTAAAACAAAGAGAGATTTAACTTCTAGTCATCGGGTATAAACTACCATGATCCCCAATAAAGTTTTAAAAGTCCAAGGGAAGGGCTGGGAGCCAGCATGTTTTTATTGGGATTATTTGGCAGTGTGTCAAAACCAATAGTACCCCTGTAGTTCACATCAAAATAGCTGGGTTAAAATGGATGTGAATAACCCCCTAAAAATGGTATTAATAGGTATTGATCCATAGCCATTTAAAGAACAACGCACACATTCTAACCATTCGGAATTGGGTATAGGATGATAGCTGATGGATGTGAATGGGAGAACCTCCGGTATCCTCTGGTTATCTAAGAGTGTGCTATGGAAGGAAGCCCACTAACATAGCAATCATTTTACGCTACTTAAGGTTTCCAACATGGAAAGAAGCCCACTAACATGGCTAACATGGCTATAATGTTGTTCTCCATCGCACGTATAACATAGATTTATCAAAGGAGGACGCAACTAACGTGGCTTGGGATATGGCCATTTTACACATAACTAACGTGGGAAAACCTATCGTTATACGCGGGTTTTTATCGTTACGTTATTTTAACAGAGTGTACATGGCTCATTTATAGATGATTTATGGTGAATAACCAGAGGGTGTATTCTATTTATGTGATGGATTATTGAGAAAAAATATGAAGTTTATCACATGTGACTGTTTGCAGGCGGGCATGCAACATGTAAAGAAACACATTGAATATTGAAACATATGGAATACGTACATATGTAAACATAATCATGTCGTTTTGTCCAACTGGGTTTGACCCACATCTTAAAGTGAGTGATGGTTGGCGAAGTGATGTTGCATCTCAGCCGCATCAGGACTATCACACCCCAAACAACGACGAAGAGTAACATAAAAATGGAACGACAGAAGCAACAATGTGACAAAGGCTGCTAGGTTGCTTTGGAATTGTGATCTTCCATGGCTTAAAGTTCCGTCGAAGATTTCTGTTCTTGAGCAACTAAATAAAATGATGTGCCGAGTAAACATGAGTCAATCTGAGTTCATAAATGCCAAGAAACAACATGCCATGTAACAATGAACATGCATCCACAAGCAAGATAGAACGGCCCTGCAACTTGCAACCTCCAACTATTACAGGCTTCCCCTCCAACTCGCATAGACAAGGGCAATTCTTAGGGTTTACCCTCTCGTAAACTAACACAACTATGGAAGATCACCATTTTTGATAGGCAAATCATGGATAAACGGGGATTTTCAATAGCTGTGTGAGGGTAGCCTAGTTGAAGAAATGAAACTAATCCCAATCTCAAAAGTTAGCACCGGTTAGGTAAGAAGTAGCTTGGCTGCAGGTGACGTTCTGTTTTCCAGGGGGCTACCACTTGATACTGATTCATGTCCCATCATGGACGCCTGTAAAACTCAACTCAGGGATGCGTCCCAATTAGCAAGTGGTCAACAAACATGTTATACCCCACTTCTACATGGAATATCCCGCGTTGTACATGGCTTGTACTTATCAATTGGGATGCACGAGAAAACCCAGGGAAACTCAGGCAGTGTTGTTTTACATTCATCAACCGTTCAACGGCTGCTGCAAATCCTGTCCGTGTTACAAAGAAATCAGCGTGCAGCGGACTTTTGGATCAAATGGGCAAATTGTTCAATGGTCCATGTGGGTATGTCTGAAAATAGGGTATATTTTCAATTATAGCCATTTAATAGGGATAATGATCATTAACCATTGGGTTTAGGGGTACACTATTTTCAGACACACCCATGTTACAAAAGAGACCAACCTGAGATTCATATAACTCGTGACTTTCCATTCGATTGAACATCTTCCCAAGCATGGATTAGGTATGATCAAATTCCAGTAAATACGCCTTAAACGAACTGTTTCACGCTATAAACAATCCATAGCTCCGCTAGAAGTAGCACCAGCATTCAAGTTTCTGTATATTGCCATGTACTTGTTACTGCTTCAGAAACTAGTGAAGTAGCAGTAAGTATACCAGTATTACCAGTAGTACCAGTAGTACTTAATCCATATTGCCAGTAGTATTTAATTGCCAGTAAGTAATAGTTAATTGCCAGTAGTACTTACCTATCATACTAACTATTGTACTACCTATGTGCTACTAACTATTATAAAAACAATATATATATATATAAGCTCTATATATATATACATAAAACTATTACTATTATATATATAAAAACTAACTCTCTCTATATATATATATATATACACTAACTATATATATATAGACACTAACTATATATATATACTAACTATATATATATATACTAACTATATATATATACTAACTATATATACTAACTATTATGTATAACTATATATACTAACTATTGTGTATAACTATACCATCTCTATATATATATATATCACTTTATATATAACTAACAATAGTACTTCATCCACACCAGTGCCATCCGCACCTGGTCGTCCCAGCGCAGGATGGCATCGCCGCGGCCGTAGACGCGTGTGCCCGGGTGCGCAGGATCAAAGACGTTCCTAACGGCGTCGCAGAGATATGCTACGACCGTAGGAATTGGCTATTACAATTTTAGTGTTGAAATACCTTTGATTTTTTTAATGTGCAATAAATATGTGTAGTTGTTCTAGTATATGGATGGAGTATGAACCCATCAGAACATATTATATTCACTTGTTTTTGTTCTTTTTAAGAGACACACACATTCTGAAAACTAACAAAACGATGGGTTCCATCCACCATGAATTTTCCAGATCATGTCCGAACGGGAAACCATGGATGGATTCCAGATCTATGTAAACGTTTAGGCTAAAAACTGTTAAAGAACATATGGATAAATATAAACTAACATATTTAGCCAAACAAAACCAGATCTATGTTGGATTTATCCATATTTTCCACATCTAAATATGGATTATGATAAATCTCTGTAAAACCACAGCCAAACAAATTCCCCAATGTCCCCCCCCAAAAAATAAAGTGTTCAGCTCATCATCCCATTTGAAGAAATACGCCCGGCTGGACGCATCGGGTACATCGAACCACGTGGAACCACTGAACCACCCAGACGTTACGTGCGGTGGTGCCCCAGTTCGGAATCGCTAACTTGGTGCAAATAAGTCTAATTTCACTAGGGTTGATGGGGGTTATATCTATAGTATTCATGGGGATTGTAAACCAACAAACATAACTAGGGGGTACCACCTTGTAACATGTAAAATAGGAAACACAAAAAAAACATAAGTCCTTGTCGTTTTCTTGGGTCAACACCCCCCAAGCATGTTTCCTTGCGGATGAGCCCACCATCGTTTGCCGTTTCAATCCCCATTTGTGCTGCCAAAAATTCTCGGTATATTCTCGGTACCACCATCCCCCGTTCACTTTTCATACCGTTTAAAACACTTCAACCGCCAAACAAACACTTGAACATCATGAACGCCATTCTATACATAGCCATCAATGTTCGCACATTTCACCTGAAAATGGGGTACCCCCACATGACTTGGTTTTCATTATTTGATTCCTTATTAAAGCGGCCAAACATGGGGCATACCATATTTTGAGACGCACACATGTCTATGTATAAAAATGTGTATACGCTACCTCCAACAGACTTTGATTGGCACTTGCCATGCAGCTGTACCATTCAACATATTCCAAGTGCTGTGCCAATGCACCTGACCATGGTCTCTGTGTTTTGCAGCTGTAATACTTGGGGTTCATCTGAAGTCGAACTGTGTTCCACAGCAGAACTGTGTTCCACAGCAGCTTCTCAATGGAGGTGCAAGGCGATTGTAGTGCAGCTGTCCATGCACTTCTTGAAGTGGACCAAGGAGTCCTTGATCTGGCTTTGATCCCTGAAAGGCTGAAGTTGTCAAATTTGGCCTTGGCCCCGCAAAAGGCATTGGCAACCGCACCGTTCTTCATGCATTGTGAGCTGCAGATTCGAATGTCAAAACTGCAAATCACACACACATATATCTATACACGGTATGTATGTATATATATATATACCATACATATTATTATGCTAGTGTATATTATTTTGGGTTTACCACATCATACCTATACTCTATAATTGTTGTAATGTCGTACAATAAATACAATCAACCAATAATATATATATATATATATGCATCAAATATATATAACCAATAATTAACACATCAGTATGATCTATATTACATATTCAACCAATGATTGACACATTAGTAATAATCATATATAATATGTATATTCTATATATATAAATATAATTGACCAAAAAATAACATCAGTCTGATCTATATTATATATTCAACCAATAATTGACACATTAGTAATATATGTGTATATATATAATTATATATATGGAGGTTTCCTAAAATGGTGGGTACCCCCAAATCATCAATTTATAGATGGGTTTGCATTATAAACCCTCCATTTTGGGGTACCCCCATTGTAGGAAACCCACGTATATATACGTATATACATAAATCCGTGTGAAAATGGATTGATCATCATTCCCCAAGGATTGGGTATTCACTAAAACTATTGACGAAGGCACATATGGAAAAGGGAACGAGCTTTGAGTTTGCCTGAAAATAGGGACTTGATGGGACTTACCCAACAAATTTGCGGGGACGTAAGGCAATCATTTTGTGGGAATATCTACTGGGATATAAAACTACCAATATGACTTTGGGTTTAGTACCTGAAAATTGGGGATTTACCGCACCAATATAGCCAGTACAGTAAGTTTTAAATGATAGCCTATTTTCAAACTAATATTTGAAAACTGATAGCTAAATTGATACACCACTATAATATGAATATTTGATTAATATACACATAAAGTAAAATTAAATACCAAAGTGGCAGGAGTATTGTGTATATATATATATATATACGTATATATATATATATATGTTGATGTATTTATGATGTAATTTATGATGCATGAAGTGTGAAAATGGTCTAGTGGGATAATATCCCTAGCTATATATGTATATTATATAATATATATATATATTCATATATTATACATACTTCATTCATCCTCCACAACAACAACCACCCCTTCCGTCGTCTTTTTTCCGGCGTCTTCACCAGCACCGGGATGCGTTCCTCGATGCAGGGCACCATGGCCGAGGGATGCAGCACCTGTCCGCCGAAGTAGGCGAGTTCCATGGCCTCATCGAAGGTCATACCTGAGGGAACGCCGGGGATCAACGGGAACCACAACGGGGATGGCGCTTGGGGCAGTTGTTGACCTAAAAACCTGGAATGACCTAGAAAAAACGGGAGGTTGTTTGGGAAAAAGATGGAGACATGATGGTATTTTGTGCTGGTTTTTCAGCATGGAACAACCCGTGAAAAACCATCAGCCAACTGAAATTCTGAGGATTTCGGAGGATTTCATGGAAATTCACGGGGGTTTCATCACGTTCATCCCAACCACCTGCCCCTTAAGGCGACTCGGCACCAGGCGACTGTTGATGGGAAAGGCTTCCGGCACCTGCCGTGGGTCTGCGGTGTAGACACCGCTGACGTTCTTCCAGAAGGTCACCTTGATCGTTGGGCAACAAGAAAGTGGATGATGGTGATCTAATGTTATTATGTTATATGATGTTTGATATATTATGATATATTATATATGATTAGATATGGATGAAAATTTGATGTTATTACATGTTATCTGATGTTTGATATATCCCATAGGATCCATGGGATTTTAACCCTGGGGAGATTTTGCAAACATTTACCCATTTATGGATATATAATGATATACCCTCTGGTAATTTAACATAGCTATTGAAAATGGCCATTTATAGTGGATTTTCCCATTGAAAATGGTGATTTTCTATAGTTATGTTAGTTTACCAGAGGGTACATGTTATAAATGTTATTACATGTTATCTGATGTTTGATATATCCCAAAGGATCCATGGTGCTGGTATATATGCTAACATAAAGGGGGTATATTGATGGGATCCATGTTACCATATATAGCAGCACCACGGATCCTATGGGTACAGTATTATGTTATACAAGGTGGTGCCCCAGTTCGTTAGCTAAGTTGGTTTATAAGTCCAATTTCACTAGGGTTGATTAGGGGGTTATATCTATAGTATTCATGAGGATTATAAACCAACTTATAACTGGGGGGTACCACCTTGTATGATGTTTGATATATTATATATGATTAGATATGGATGAAGAATTTCATGATCTTTGTGATCTACCCAACCTGGTTATTTAACGGTTTGCGAACTGGAAAATCACCATGTTTGATAGATTTAGATAGATAATTATACATAATCATAGATTACCATCTGGTTATTTAACATAGCCATGGAAAATGGTCCATTTATATGGTTTACCTGGGTTTACCTATTAAAAATGGTGATTGTCCATGGCTATGTTAGTCATAACCAGATGGTATCTATCAATGGGATCCAATGTTATTATGGATTTCTCTGAACATGTGGTACCTCCAAATACAGCAAGGTCAACCATGATGTTCCCTATTGAATAGCTATAATTGGGGAGGGGTATACACCATTTTCAGACAAATGTTACATGATGTTAGATATAACATATGCGTATACCCTCTGGTAAATTCACATAGACCCTGAAAATAAGCCCAGTGGAAACTCATCTTCCAAGCCCTATTTACTGGATTTTACTGGAGTCTGGAGGGTAACATATAACCAGATATGGATGAACTTAGATGTGATTGGGATGATATTGATTCTAGTGGGAAATGGGACGATATTGGTGGTTTTTGATGGAGAGTATCCCCATAGTAGTTTCCATGGTTTAGTAGTCCGGGAGAAAATCTATTAATGATAGTGGATACAATAGAAATATACAGGATATTGGTGATATGCTATTGGCTATTGAATCATTGGTTATTGAAAGGACATAGTAACGATTGTATGCCATTGGATATTGGTGATATCATTTAAAGGTGATATCAGGTGAATATTGGATGACATTGGATGATGTTGGGATCTAATGTTAGTAAAGCATTGTAGCAATGTACTGTGGATGGTTGCGAAATCCTGCATCACCAAAAGGATGTTTTAAACCTTAAAAATAATGGGATGTTTACCACCTATCAACTGGGGATTTCGCTGGCCCATCCAAAGTATCATTTTTTGTCAACATATGGTAGTGGTATGATCCCTTGATCATCTACTGGGAAGATCCATCACTGGAGTGAAAGTGGGATCTTTTTTGTGAATATCATTGGATATGGGATATCATGAAAATATCATGAAAATATCATGAACATATCATGAACATGTCATGGAATCATGGACATATAGTTCTGATGTTAATGAGGATATAATCTGATAGTAAGCAATCAACATCCCAAATTTTACTCTAAATTGCTGGTATGAACCATCAAACAATGTGTGGCTTATTATTATTGCTTTACTAACCTTAATGTGGATTTCACGGGCATTTACTTAATTTGGATAATCATGACAAAAAAAAATGTTCACAGCAACAAAAAAAAATATTGGGATCCAATTGTGATAATGGGATGATCATGGGAATTTGCCAGGCCGTTGGCAGAATCGACAAAGTGATGTTTGACGGCCCCGTTGTTTTTGGGGCGTAGCACCCCTGCATCAGCATCCGGTGTTGTTTCTGGGGACTGCAGTGCTGCTCATGAAAAAAAGGTGTCAAAATGACTTGACGCGGCTTTGCAACCGTAGACAAGCATTCAAGTTCACTTAGAGACAAACAAGAACTATATAAACAATGAACAACATCAAACGAGGATAAACAATGATCAGCAATGATAACCAATTGTAACATTAACAAACATCAACCATCAAAATTTGTTAAAACAAAATCATATCGTGACTGCCGCAATCTCCAACATCGACACGTCTCCGATCGAGGTGCATTGGACGCATCGAGAATCTTGGCAAAAATCGTCGCCTAAGGCTGTTGCCAACTTGGGATCATCGCTGGTTGTTTGATTCCCTACATGTCTGGTATGTCCACATCAATATATCCTACAATGGGTGGTTTAGATTAGTTTATATCCTATATTAAAGAATGTTTACATCAATAAATAGGTGGTAATACATGGTACGCTACAAATGGGTGTTGTTTCATTGATACTTGTGGTATTTATATTTGATGTTTCAAGCCATGGTTCATTGATGTTTATGGGGTGGGGTAAGTAAGGGTGACGCTATTGTACATGATATCTGGGCATGGGTCAAACCATGGGCGGTGTCTCGTTGACCTTTCTACAAGGTGGTACACCCCACTCGCCACAAACCGAGGTGTCACAATGCCCTCCAAAATCTGAGTTGGCCGATGTTGGCCTGTATACTATATGAATGTAGATAATATATCCCAGAATGACATGGGTTATTAAGCATTTTCTAACTGGGATGCACCATCCTTCCCACACAAACAGAATTAGGTGCAGCACGCTGAATGCCGACCTAGAGATCGCCCAACAATGCCACAGACATGTTGACTTGTTGACAAATGCAGGGTGCTTTTGAGCACAGCAGGGTATATGCCATACTTCCAATACAGGGCTGGGCTACACCCATGGTCGCCATGGTTTTGAAATGTTTTGAAGCACTCAGGATTGGAGTGAGCCTTTGGCACAGCCATAGACACAATTTTTGGGAATGAACGCATGCACCACCAACACAGCAGGAATTGGATGATGATCACTTGTGGATCTGACAATTACGTAGGAATCCAAACAAAATGAAGGATCACGATTCAGGATACACTGACCAATATAGAAAGGCAAACGAAACAATCAAGACCTGAAGGCAAGGTCACTCGATCAAGGCTTTGGTTGAACATATATCCCAAAGTCAAGCTTTGCAAGTTGCTCGGCAAGGTCACTCCATCAAGGCTTTGGTTGAACGAACCTTCTAAAGCCAAGCTTTGCAAATTGCTCGGCAAGGAAACTCGATCAAGGCTTCGATTGAACAAACTACCATCGAAAGTCAAGCTTTGCAAGTTGCTCGGCAAGGTCACTCCATCAAGGCTTTGGTCGAACATACGTCCGAAAGTCAAGCTTTGCAAGGTGCTCGGCAAGGTCACTCCATCAAGGCTTTGGTTAAAATCTCCTCCGAAAGTCCAGCTTTGCAAGTTGCTCGGCAAGGTCACTCGATCAAGGCTTCGGTTGAAGATATCTCCGAAAGTCAAGCTTTGCAAGTTGCTCGGCAAGGTCACTCGATCAAGGCTTTGGTTGAACATACCTTCGAAAGTCAAGCTTTGCAAGTTGCTCGGCAAGGTCACTCCATTAAGGCTTTGGTTGAACGTATCTCCGAAAGTCAAGCTTTGCAAGTTGCTCGGCAAGGTCACTCCATCGAGGCTTTGGTTGAACCAATGTCCGAAAGTCAAGCTTTGCAAGGTGCTCGGCAAGGTCACTCCATTAAGGCTTTGGTTGAACGTATCTCCGAAAGTCAAGCTTTGCAAGTTGCTCGGCAAGGTCACTCCATCAAGGCTTGGGTTCAAAGTCAAGCTTTGCAAGTTGCTCGGCAAGGTCACGCCATCAAGGCTTTGGTTGAAAATACTTCCGGAAGTCAAGCTTTGCAAGTTGCTCGGCAAGGTCACGCCATCAAGGCTTTGGTTGAACATACTTCCGAAAGTCAAGTTTTGCAAGTTGCTCGGCAAGGTCACTCCATCAAGGCTTTGGTCGAACATACGTCCGAAAGTCAAGCTTTGGCAGGTGCTCGGCAAGGTCACTCCATCAAGGCTTTGGTTAAAATCTCCTCCGAAAGTCAAGCTTTGCAAGTTGCTCGGCAAGGTCACTCGATCAAGGCTTTGGTTGAACATAAGTCCGAAAGTCAAGCTTTGCAAGTTGCTCGGCAAGGTCACTCCATTAAGGCTTTGGTTGAACATAAGTCCGAAAGTCAAGCTTTGCAAGTTGCTCGGCAAGGTCACTCCATCAAGGCTTTGGTTGAACGAATCTCCGAATGCCAAGCTTTGCAAGTTGCTCGGCAAGGTCACTCGATCAAGGCTTTGGTCAAAATTTCTTCCGAAAGTCAAGCTTTGCAAGGTGCTCGGCAAGGTCACTCCATCAAGGCTTTGGTCGAACATACCTTCGAAAGTCAAGCTTTGCAAGTTGCTCGGCAAGGTCACGCCATCAAGGCTTCGGTTGAACATCTCTTCGAGAGTCAAGCTTTTCAAGTTGATCTGTAAGGTCACTCCATCAAGGCTTCGGTTGAACCAATGTCCGAAAGTCAAGCTTTGCAAGTTGCTCGGCAAGGTCACTCGATCAAGGCTTTGGTCAAAATCTCTTCCGAAAATCAAGCTTTGCAAGTTGCTCGGCAAGGTCACTCCATCAAGGCTTTGGTTGAACGAATCTCCGAAGGTCAAGCTTTTCAGGCTTTCGGGGAGGCTGCCCAGACTTGGAACATAGGTGCATCCTCCTATCTGCGTCACCCCATCCAACTCAAGATGTGGCTCAGAGACTTGGAATCCTTGGAGGTATCTCCACGCTGCGTATAGGTCTGTTGGAACATAAGTGCAGGACAGTCTCGCAGTCTTCCCTTCAATGCCTTGCTCTTGCAATGTTTGCTGGAGCATCAATGGTGAAGCTAGGTGGTAGAGGACCAGCTTTGCCCTTTTCTTGATCGGAAGTTGCTCAGAGACCATCCTGCGCACTTCCAGGCCGAGAGTGGAAGGACTGAGGCTCAGGCTACACTCTTCACCATTGAGGCATAGCACATGGAGATCAATCAAGTCAACCAGCTCGGAACCAGCTGACCCCACATAGCCATCAACACTCGACATCCTTGAGGGATGTTTGAGCCATAATGTTCCCTTGGATGAAAATTTCGGAGTCTATCCCATTTTGTGATCGATCCTTTTTAGGTCAGAAGTATGTCACTGGCCCTCCGGTTGAAGTCCCTCATCATGGCCAATCTTTGTTTTTTAGCTGCATATCTATTCCCCTTTTGCAAAACATCGAAAGTATTCATAACAGAATAAACAATTAACGGAATATAACACAATCATTAAACTACCCTTGGACTCAGGTTTTATCATGGATCATGGCATTGAATTCTATAATTATGATTGGATAATAATATATAATAAGAAACAAATTAAGACCAATCTATGGAGCATTTGCCCATGAGATTCATGATGCCTCATATCCCCACATATCCCCATGATGCTTGGTGAAAAAGCTGCCCATGTTCCGGCAATCCACCGCCAATCCCAACGTATGTTACTGGCGAAGTTCAATCAATCCATCGCATCTCACCATGTTCGGTTTCTAAACCTAGTTAACTAAAGATACAAGGTGGTGCCCCCTAGATAGTTAAGTTGGTTTATAACTCCCATAACTATGGTTTATGGCAGATATAACTATAGTTAATGGGGTTTATAAACCAATTTATAACTAGGGGTCACCACATTGTACCCGGCCTGGTAAACATACAAAAAACTATTGAACATGGCAATTGAAATAGTGGATGTTCCCATTAAAAATGGTGATTTTCCATAGTTATGTTAGTTTACCAGAGGGTAATCATCATCAGTTCATTTTCTTGATCACTCACCCATTTTTTATGCCCATGAAATTCGATGGTTTTCTAGCACCCATTTGTCCCATTCAATCTCCATATATCTCCATATATCTCCTTATATCTCCATCTTTGTTGGTCATATCCCATATTTTATCCCAAGTTCCCAACTCAAATCACATGGTTTTTCCAACATGAAATCCCAATTTCCCCATGACATTTGTACAAAAATGGGGGGATTTCCTCCGATTTCCAAGCGACCGAATAGTCGGAGCCACTTCGCTTCAGCGTGGTGGGCCTTCCAGACATGGTGCTGCAAACGAAGCCAGTGATGATGACGAAGGGTGAGCCTTCCTGGGAATCCAGAAATATTTCATCGTGGGATATCCAGAGATGGATGACTTTAGCACCAAAAATGGGTGATGTGAATGGGGGAAAAATGGGATGAACTGAGATTTAGCCAAGAAAAAGTGGTGATGTTGATGGGAGAATTGGAATATCATGTGATTTCACCAACACAAATGGGAATTTATTCACTAATGACGGTGAGATATCCTCTATAATCAAACGTGGCTTTTTGGAAAATCACCTATTTATAGTTGATTTTCCTATAGGAATATAAAAGCTACATGGCTAGTTCGTGGATTTCCCAGCTCTAGCCATGTCTGATTCCAATTGTTGTTGGATAAGATATTCCCATCTGGTTGGTGGTCAGTTGGGATGATGACATTCCATATATGAAAAGTCATAAAATTCATGTTCCAAACCACCAACCAGCCATGATTTTCTTTGTTTTCTGATCATTCGTGATATTTCCAATTGGAAATGTGGATTCATCCAGGTTATTCCAGGATATCCATGCCCTCTAAACTAACATTGCTATGGAAGCCATGGCCCATAGAAATAGATGGTTTTACCTGTTAAGAATTGTTATTTTCTATAGCTATGCTATGTTAGTCATTACCAGAGGGTATATTCTACCATTAACTATAGTTCGTTATATCTACCATAAACCATAGAATTCAGCCACATTTTTTGGCAACTAAACGCTATCTTGAGGGCCCCATCCTGTAACTATTCCAGGTGATCGCCAGGTGCAACAACGTTGAGGGCTTGGAGACGGGTTCGTTGCCCTGAAACTGACATCATTAACAATGCAAACATGGGAACTATATATAGTATATATATATATACACTAAATATGTAAATCACTGTAATATATATATATATTATATATATATATATATTACAAAAATAAAAACGTTGCAAAATATGGGAACGTCTCTATAAATGTAAAAATGTAGGTTTCTATCTGGACAAAATCAAACCTGGCTGAGAAATCCCTTACAAATGGGGGTTAAGAAAGCCGGGAAAATCATCCCAGAATTGGAGACTTTCCATGTCAACCATGTTTAATTGCCGGGGGGTACAGTATCGGGTATGTTCGCTAGACAATGCACTGGTAAACATCTCATCGACTTCTAAATTTTGACTCTTGACTTCCGATGCCCTATCTGCAGCTGAGTTTCTTTGTCGGCCAGATTGTTCCTTGCGAAGCAGGTTCGCGTAGGTTTTGAGAAACCACTTACTGATCTTACTGGTTTGGTAGCAGCTCTATGGTTGTCCCCAGACAATATCACCCACTATCATAACCAATCAAACATTTTGTTTTCTCCACTTGTTTCTGAATATCTTCTCCCATCATCCCTCGTCTATCCCATTGCACCTTGGGTATATCCCATTCTCAGTCATATTGGCATTGTACCCTGACTGCATCCCAAAAAAAACTCTCTTATACCGTTATATTATACCCTCCAGTAAATTAACGTAGACCCTGGCAGTCATCTGGGTTGGCAGACTAGTTTCCACTATAAAATTGGTCATGTTCAGGGTCAAACTGTGAATTTACTGTTTGGTCATATGACTTCTTTCCATACTGGTTGGTGGTATACCCCTCTGAAAAATATGAGTCAGTTAAAATTATCATTCCCAAGTCCTGGAAAGTCATCCAAATTCCATGGTTCCAGTCACCACCAAGCAGATTTCCATTGTGAAATCCCGTTGATCTTCTGACCAAGCTGCAGCCACCATCGCTCCAGTCTTTCTGCCGACTCGTCCCAAAATGGCTCGATGGTGTCCTTAGTTTTTCCGTAGCAAATCAGCCGAAAAAAAGGAAGTTTTCCGAGTCTTCCCTGTTGAAAGAGGATGGTAAATATCAGACATAAATCCGCCCACACCGCTTTGGCGGTGAAGGCGTGCTTATTGGGGGGCAACAGCAACACTAAATGCTCAATGACATTTGTTAATATAGCAGTCGCTATATCAGCTTTAGCTGGGGGGGGGGGGGCCCAAAAACGGTTTCGCACCGAGACCAGACCCCAAAAACGGTTTCGCACCGAGACCAGAATACGGTGGTGTTTTCGACATTTTTCGAGGATTTTTGGGTGTCTGAGCGCAAGAGGGTATTGAAATGGAATTTTGGGTCATTTTGGTAGCTTTCCGGCAATGGAAAAACGGCCAAAAATGAAAAAAACATTGTACATAGCAAGATTTTGCAGGGTTTTTGGATGCCAGAGCATTGAAAACACTGCAAAAACAAGTGTTTTGGACTGACGTTATAGCAAAAAACGTGTAAATTACCGTATGCTTGACTGGAAACATTACAAAAACACTGTCAAAAGCAATGTTTTGGAAGGATTTACTGCCTTTATGGCAAAAAACGTGTAAATTACCGTCTGTTTGACTGGAAACATTGGAAAAACACTGTCAAAAACAATGTTTTGGAAGGATTTCTTATTGAAACTTCTTAGCTTGAAGAGCCCCCACGGGGGAAAACCACCCTTAGCCCCTCTCACGGACCGAATCCGCCCACACCGCTTTGGCGGTGAAGGCGTGCTTATTGGGGGGCAACAGCAACACTAAATGCTCAATGACATTTGTTAATATAGCAGTCGCTATATCAGCTTTAGCTGGGGGGGGGGGGCCAAAAACGGTTTCGCACCGAGACCAGACCCCAAAAACGGTTTCGCACCGAGACCAGAATACGGTGGTGTTTTCGACATTTTTCGAGGATTTTTGGGTGTCTGAGCGCAAGAGGGTATTGAAATGGAATTTTGGGTCATTTTGGTAGCTTTCCGGCAATGGAAAAACGGCCAAAAATGAAAAAAACATTGTACATAGCAAGATTTTGCAGGGTTTTTGGATGCCAGAGCATTGAAAACACTGCAAAAACAAGTGTTTTGGACTGACGTTATAGCAAAAAACGTGTAAATTACCGTATGTTTGACTGGAAACATTACAAAAACACTGTCAAAAGCAATGTTTTGGAAGGATTTACTGCCTTTATGGCAAAAAACGTGTAAATTACCGTCTGTTTGACTGGAAACATTGGAAAAACACTGTCAAAAACAATGTTTTGGAAGGATTTCTTATTGAAACTTCTTAGCTTGAAGAGCTCCCACGGGGGAAAACCACCCTTAGCCCCTCTCACGGACCGAAATAAACCTGCGGTGTGGGCGGCCACCCCACGCGAAGCGGGGTGAATACCCACAGCTGTGTTTATGGTATGTAAACATATGTATGTGATTGCATATTATGTGTAAATATATAATTATGGACCCACCAACGCTTTCATGTTGAAACCAAGAAATTCATCCGCCCAACTCTCACCGACTTCTCATTTTACGGAGTTATGTGACCTCAACTGGCATCTGTGCAGTGCTTCAAAATACATAAAGGATCATAAAGGCCATTCTTAACGTGGTTTTCATTCACAAAAAAACATCAGACTCCACCTCTGGAACATATCTGAACTGATAGCACTTATGTGCCAGGAGGCCGCTACAGACCGTTTGTTACTGGCACGATTCATAAACAGCTCGGAGCCTTGCTCCATCGTTCACTGGCTGGGTTCATGCTGGCTGGAAATCTCCCCATCACCAGGATGTTCAGTTTGTCCCAGTTTGTCGATGTTTATTGGTGGCTAAATAAGGCTACTGCTTGGTGGTTAAAAAACAATGTTAACTGGCACCCAAGTAGCCATGTTAACTGCTTGGTGGTGCAATAACCATCTTGAAAAACATAAAAGTCAATGGGAAGGATGACATCCCATATATGAAATGGGAAATAAACAATGTTTGAAACCACCAACCAGGCTACATACCTTTGTCAATATTCTGTTGGTTACATTCTCGTTGGTTCTCTAACCAAGCTTGCTCTTGACCAACGTATAAACGTTCACGTTAAGTACCACTTAAACAGACTGGCAACGTTGGCAACTTCTTTTCAAAGCCATTGAAAAGCTCAAATCCAGACTTTTCTTCGATACGAATCTGATTTGTGGATGGAAAAAAAAGAGGTATATTCAATGGGAGATCTCCAGGATCCTAACATGGAGGTACGTTAGTACCATATTTCTGGCCATATTTTGTGGGGATATTCCCTTACATAGGCCTTATATAAGCCTTATATATGGTAGGTACCTCCAATTTAGGATCCTGGAATGGCCATTGATATATGTGACATTGGTTATTATTTTGATGAATAGTAGTATACAACAGTATCCCCCTTGTCTATTAGCAAAAAAAATGAAACCATCACTAGAATAAGGGCACCCCCATTCATAAGTTGTTTTGTAGTCCTACCAAACTATATATATATTATGTCCATGATATACCTTGGTTAGTCCAAATAGATGCGGAAAAAATGAAAGCCTTGAACGTGGAATAAATATGAATAAATATGATCTGTACTTACCATCCTGGAAACACTAACATCGACATCTTTTGTGGGTTGCAAAAAACAACTTGGCAAACTAAGGTATATATAGATTAGATTTACCAATATTTACCATATATTTCCAGCTTTCCCACTTTTCGGCATCGGGTGCTCTACAACAAACAGGCCAACTTGGGGGTCTCAGTCGTCGCACAGGCTCCATAGCTGTGCCCTTCTCGCCTAAGCCTGGTGATGGTTTTCCCAGAAACCGCCATGGACAGTTCGGGGATTTTCCCATGTTTGAGTACCGGAGAGTATCCATCTTTTTGAAGCGATACATGATTTTCAGGATCAACATGGATAAACTACGACATCCGGCTTGGGCTTTTTGGACAAACATTGGGCCAATTCTGAGAATTTTTGCAATGAGTTTGCTACCTGGAAGGCAATGTCCTCAAGGTACTTGAGATTCTACCCTCTGGTAATTGAACATATTATATGGAAAAATCGCAATTTTAATAGGTAAATCATCTATAAATGGTCCATTCTCCATAGCAATGTTACTTTACTGGAGGGTATGTCTGGGTCAAAATTCTGTGCCTTGCGCAGCTGAAAACATGGCGAAGTCATGTGCCTCAGTAATCGTACGATTCGTTGCCCGAGTATTGATGGCACCTCAGTGCAAGGTCAAGGCCTATAGTTTGCTAAGTTGTTTTATAATGGTTTATATGTAGGTTAACTATGGTTAGTTTATCATAGTTTATATGTAGGTTAACTATGGTTAACTATGGTTAACTCAAGTTCATAGGGCTGATAAGCCAACTTACAACAGGGCCCGGGGCCTATAGTTAGCATCCCCGGATCGGTTCATCTGCCTGACAGTGGTCCATCCGGCACGATGAGCACATCTCTGGCATCAATCCATTCCTCACCAGATGGCTGCGGCACGGCAGATTTTTGCTGCGCAAATTGGCACTTTTGGATTTTTGGCACCGAATTTTTTTTCACCGTGATTTGGATCACACAGAATCTCAGAATCCCAGAATAGGCGATTTTGTTCAGCACAACAGAAAGGCATATAGGTATTTTCATGAGGATAACATGGGGACATCGGCCGTCACTTTGATCATCTGAGTCGTATTAAAAACCCGGTTTGAAAATGCTGATCCCAACCACAAATCATCGTAATTCCATGCGGCGGTCTTCATGTTTACAATAGGACCTCCACATTTCCAGATTATATATTAATATTGCCAGACGGAATCTTGGATGCTTTTGAGATACGGAGAAATAGAACAATGAATGGTTGTTTTGTATTGTGTACAGAAAATGGAGACATCTACGATATAAAAGGGTCATATATGTTTATATTAGGCTATGTGAAGGATAATTACCTAAGCCCAAATGAGAAAAGAAAACCAAAACGGGTCAAATGGGTCTATGATCACCTGGGACGACTTTGGATGTCGTTCAGATGTCGTTCAGATGTCGTTTCGGATGTCGTTCAGATCGCCGGTGGGATTCAAAAAATTGACATATTGCTCTGTGACCGATCTAAGCACTCAGACACAAGCGGTCGCACAGGGTTATGAAAGCTAAAAATGGCTCATGTGGGATGGAAATGGAAGACTAAACAAAATAGAATGTGGTTTTCACAGACTCCCATATATGTCTATGTATGATTTGGATGTCGTTTCAGATGTCGTTCCAGATGTCGTTCCCCACCTAAATGGACTACCCTCAAAACAGTTTAAAGCCAGAATTAGGTGCGGCGGTGCGGCGAACTATGGACCAAGGATCACCGAATACATAGCTGAGTATTACCGGGTTTTTAATACAGCTCATCTGGTGTCAAACGTGGCAGTTGGAAATTCCCCAATCAGCCAGCGTGAAGGTTTCTAGGTGGGACAAGGGACAATCATCTACAAATGGAAGATGTTCCATTGCACGTTTCATTACCGGTACCACCCAAAGATGATTTCTTGAGTCATGTTTCAAGATCGTCTGGCCTTAATCATCACAACCTGTCCCCACCAGATTGATGTTGCCTGTTGCACCCTGATTTGACACTGTTGGCCAACGGATAAAAGAAACATGAATCATGGTGGCTACTTCTGCAGGTAAAAGGCTTGACCAAGGACGCAATACACATGTCAGGTTTGAGACTCAGAGACCATGGTTGTTGTGAGAACGGTTTGAATCAGCCAGCGATTCATCTCAATGATATTCCTCTTCCTTCATCTCTGGGTTTTCCATGAACTTGCTTTGGTACAAAGGCTATCCACGGGGAAACGGACGTCTTTGTAGTCCAACCACCTTAGACCGGTGACCTATGGGGATCTGAATGCTAGCCGCTTTACCAACAGCCACTCTTCAGAAGCCCAGGATCGCAAGTTGTACCAACGGACTTCAAGTAGGCCTAGGAAAACCAGGCCGTGAGTCACGTTTTATCCATTTTCCAGAGCCAGAAGTCAAACATGTTGCCTTTCCTTCATCTTACTATATCTTACTGCTGCTAAACCTAGGGAATGGGAGAATGACCCAAAATCACTATGCTCACTCTATTAACAATCATCCCATTCCCCCATTTCCTACTGTAAGCACCAGAAAGTTGATCATCTTTCCTGAGCTCTTCTGTTTGAGATATCACATAGTTTCAAACGGCCACAGCGACATCTTGCTGGTTTTAGAATGATGTTATCATGCTTCGTTTAAGGCTGATTGTTTAGAACAACTATATGATATTATAGTTTATCTATCATACTTCATTGACCTTCATTGGACACAAGCAATTGTTTAGCTTCCATCTTAGATGTGCTTCTGCGAGAAAACACCACTGGTATCTGGAAAACTCCCATCATGTCCTCACAAGTTGCTCTCAGTTTGAAGTAGATGTAACAACAACATATCTGGATATGTATGTATGTATATTAAATTGTGGTAGTTGCACCCCAATCATGAACATTATATACTGTATATTATATATATACAGTATATGTTTTTTGTTTTGATCACAGTAATCCTTATTCCTATTCCTGTTGGGCAAAATCCCCATTTCTTGCTGGTAAAACTGTGTTGTTGGTAACGTCTCCTCATGTTCGATTTCTTCACTCCCAGAGCTTTGTTGGTCAACTCTCCTACTCGTCGAAATGGGTCGACTGTCAAAATCCTCAGCATCTGATGGCTTGCCATATGTTTTACCCTCTGGTAAACGTTTACGAAAAACTATGGAAACTCACCATTTTTATTTAATGGGTAAATCCACTATTTCAATGGCCATGTTCAATAGTTTTTTGTATGTTTACCATTTCGGGTACCCCCTTCCGTTGTGGCCGACCTTTGGTGAAATCAGTGAAAGTTTCCATTAAAATATGACCACGTGCGGTCACCTAAGTCGGTTCCTAAATTTCTGTAGACTTTAACCTTTAACCTGGTTGGTGGTGCAATAACCATCTTGAAAAATGTTAGTGAATGGGAAGGATTATCCATGATTACTTATGGTTAATACATGGTTATTATATGGTTAATGATGGTTAATAATAACCTGGTTGGTGGTGCAATAACCATCTTGAAAAAAAATAGTGAATGGGAAGGATTATCCATGATTACTTATGGTTAATACATGGTTATTATATGGTTAATGATGGTTAATAATAACCGGGTTGGTGGTGCAATAACCATCTTGAAAAATGATGGAGTTCGTCAATGGGAAGGATGACATCCCATATATGAAATGGAAAAAAAATGTTTGAAACCACCAACCAGTAACAAAGGGAGTACCACTGACCACTGATACCAAATAATGCTCTTGATTGTCACTGATAGTCATGTTCCTCATGAAATTATATACCCCATTTTGAAGGATCTATTCCTCTTTTGGACATACCCACGTAGTTCGTCAATCTCCACCATTGATGATTAATCTCCAGTATCCCTATCAAGGCCCTATTGTATGTATATATATATATATATGTATAGGTGTATATTTATATATATATATATACATACCCCCTGGTTATTTAACATAACCATGGAAAATGGACCATTTACAGATGATTGTCCAATCAAAACCTCCATGTGTAATGCAAATTTCCATAGCTACGTTAAATAACCAAATGGTGTGTATATATATATATATATCTGGGTAAATTACAACATTTCACTAACCTGAATTAAGGCCATTTGGGGATGATTCCCCTTACTAACCATGATTCCAGGGTTCGGGAGAACAGTGAGGTCGTTCTAATCTACCCAATATATATATACATATATATATATACATATATAGATATACTGTATATTACAACATGGTTGAACCTCATCACAACCCCCAGCTCTGCCATCTTTTGCCATTCTTGCTGGTCAAATCCCCAAAATCAACTTCTGCGGAGTACGAGAATGACATCTCATATGTGTCGTGGAGAAAATCTGGACCAAAAACCCTCCGGTAAACCAACATAGCTATCCCATAGGATCCATGTATGGTATATATGCTAACGTTTGGGGTATATTGATGGTAAATGTTACCATATATACCATACATGGATCCTATGGGTATTGAAAATTGCACATCTATAGTTGATTTATACCCTTTCAAAATGGTGGATCTTTCCATAGTTATGTGAAAATTTACCAGAGGGTATATTCATAGTGAATCATATTCTGCGATGGTTATACCACCGTCCATAAGGATTGCTATAGATCCAATATCTTTGGAGGTCTGTTGTGGAAGGGATGAACTCCCTATCTTCTCCACATGTTTTCCTAGTTTTCCCTAGGTTTTTGTAGCTTTTCCCATCATCCAGCTTTTTCCTGGGATTTAGTAGCTTTTCCCTGGGTTTTCCCTTGTTTTCCCTAGGTTTTTCTAGCTTTTCCCTGTGTTTTCCCTAGTTTTCCCTAGGTTTTTCTAGGTTTTGGTAAGGGGTTCACCATCTCCACCGCCACGGCACGGCCAAGGTCTGCGCGGACCAGACCTCCCCGAGCCCCGCCACGAGTTCCAACATCTGCGGCGGCACGCCGCGCATCTTGGAGGCGGCCAAGAGCATGGCTTTCACGGCGTCCTGGTCCTGGTTATATGTACAATTTTTATCATAAAATATATGACATAATCTACATATATATATACTATATATATATATGTTCATTATATATATGTGATTATATATATAGTATTAATGTAATAATGTAAATGGCACACCAAAATGATGTACATATGAGTTTGTCTGAGAATGGGGTCAATCAGCTACAAAGGCAATACCTCAGCATCTGGGATAGGGACATCATCCATTTGATATGGGCCATATCGTGTCACGTATCTTGTTCGCGCAAATAAACGCGACGGGCTCCAAGAAGACTGACTAAACAAATACCTATCATACCTCAACGAAGAAAGGTCGAAATGGTTCACAGCAAAGTGGATCTGTCGTGTTCTTGCCTATCGGTCTATGATGTCCATGACTCTGGCGCAATCTGGTGATCATCAACAAATGTTTTTTCAGCAGGAAGGATCCGTCTGTTGCCTGAAAGCTTGGGGCTACTAATATGATGGACAACTTTGATCATTTAGAGATATGGTCATCGTACTTGAATAACAAGTTACATTGATAAGTGTCTAAACACAATCTTAAAAAAAAAAAAACGCTATTCTATTACAGTAATATGGTCAATATTTGGTAGTCCAAATTAAGTACAGTAAAACATATTTTGCTGGTTGGCTGGTTATTTTCCATGTGTCTCGCACAGTCCCTAAAGGATTGTCCCTACCTATCCAAGGTTGGGGACGTCATGAACTGTGTAGATGCTACTGTGCAGCACAAAAGGACCTCCATTCAGAAACCAAGTTTTCCTAAAAAAAAACACCTGAGTTGCGAGTTGCCCCAAAACTATCTTTGAAACATATATTGTTTTTGAGCGTCACACGAAAAACTCATCCAATCTTAGAAATCTCAAGTTTCACCCTGTAACAAAAACATCAAAAACCTTTCCACCACTAAACTCACATCTTGTGTTTTCCCTTCCAATTGTCTGTTCTATTCCAGTCTCTAACCTGTGGGTTCAACGTTTGGCGGGTTCCTGTCCTGTTCGATGTTCTTGATCACTTGATCTGTCAACTCTTTGTGGTCTGGAACCTCAGTTCCGAAAAGGAAGGAACGACACCAGATATCCACCCCTTAGCTGTGCATATCTGTTGGCCACTGCTTCATGAATATAGTTATTAATGATTGAAACACACATTTTTAATTGTTTGATATGGTTATATAAGTTCATTGAGTGGTTATGTTTTACCATGCTCCACCATAAGTTTCTGGTGGTATAAACTATACAGGGTATACTGCAGTTTCACCAAAGGAGGGACCAAGATTGGGACCTAGGGTGGTCGACTTCCAGAATGGGATACCAGGCAAATCTCGACCCTGAAATTCATTTCAAATGCCCAAAAAGAGAAATAACTCGTCATCAAATTACCAAATTACATATTGTATAATATTGTTACATAATCGTCCATTTTCTCCATTTTCTCCATGGTTTTAGGTTTTTCTCATGGTTTTCCCCATAGTTTCCCCATGTGTTTCCACGTTTTTCTCGTGTTGTTCCCTATGTTTTCCCTATGTTTTCCCATGGTTTTCCAGGTTTTCCATGTTTTTCACATCGTTTTCCCATGGCTTTTCCGCAGGTTGTCCCGGGCACCAACTCCAGCAGGATGGACTTCTGCCGCTCCGCGGTGGCCGTCAACTTCTCGCAGGACTCCTCCACGCTGACCTCAACGAAGCTTCGCGACTGATGGGTTTTTGTTTACCATCTGGTTATTTAAATAGGTAAACAAAGGATGTGTTTATCACCAGCCAAAATGATGTGCTCACCAGCCAAAATGTTTTTATCACTAAACAAAGGATTTACCATCTGGTTATGACTAACATAGCCATGGGAAATCACCATGCTATTAATAATTATTAATAGGGAAACCATCTACAAATGGGCCATTTTCCATGGCTATGTTAAGACATGGTTAAGACATGGTAAACTAACATAGCGAACTGGAAAATCACCATTTTCAATGGGAAAATCCACTATTTCTATGGTCATTTTCAATAGCTATGTTAAATTACCAGAGGGTAAGAGATGGTAAACTACTATAGGTATTATATATATATATGTAGATATACATGTTGTTGTATAAGTAAACCTAGACATATATATATAGTATATAACTAAACCTGAAGGTTTCATGAAATGGAAGTACCTTCTTAATCATCCATTTTAGATTGGGATTTTCCATGAAATAAACCATCCAGCTATTGGGGTACTCCCATTTATGGAAACTACCATATAATGCTATATAAATTGTTACATGATGTATATAATGGTATATACAATGGTATATCACTTCTGGTTTATCACCAATAACCATGGCGAACCCAGATAAAGCTAGTTGTTTTTTAGTTAACTATATCATGTAGTATATATAATATAAATTATATCAGGTGATAACCTAAGTTCTATATCACCTAAGGTTATAGTGCTATAATGGTCAGGAATATAAATGTTATCAGGCACATAAATGTTCTAATGTATATAATGGTAGATAGTAATGGTTATATGCCATATTGTAGGCCATATACTAGGTATAATGATGGTTATACCATGGTTATACATGCAATAATGGTTGAAATTGTTATATGATGTAAATATAGTGGCATATACATAACCGAAGGAAGTTTAGAAGTGAAACTTCCGACAATATGGACAGTTGAAAAGCAGAGGTGAAAAGAGTCAGAAGAGAAAAGATCAGAAGAAAGAAGAGGTAGATGCGCGAAAAGATAGGAAAGTCGCGATTCACTGCGTTTTCCCAATGATTTGTGGCTCCGGAGGGTCGAAAAGTAGGCTCGCTAAAGCGGCGGGTGCGGAGCCAGCTGGCCAGATGAGACATGAAAAAGTGCACGCCGTTGTGGCGCGAAGCACATTTCCAAGTCAAAATGGACAAAACGCTAGAGGAGCGGACCACTTTTGGAAGTTGCGATGTCGAAAAAGTGCACGCCGTTGTGGCGCGAAGCACATTTTGACGTCAAAATGTACAAAACACACCAATGTCGGACCACTTTTGGAAGTTCCGATGTCGAAAAAGTGCACGCCGTTGTGGCGCGAAGCACATTTTGAAGTCAAAATGTACAAAACACACCAATGTCGGACCACTTTTGGAAGTTCCGATGTCGAAAAAGTGCACGCCGTTGTGGCGCGAAGCACGTTTCGAAGTCAAAATGTACAAAACACACCATTCTCGGACCACTTTTGGAAGTTGAGATGTCGAAAAAGTGCACGCCGTTGTGGCGCGAAGCACATTTCCAAGTCAAAATGTACAAAACACCAGGGGTTCGGACCACTTTTGGAGGTTGCGATGTCGAAAAAGTGCACGCCGTTGTGGCGCGAAGCCCATTTTCAAGTCAAAAAGTGTTAAAAACTGACGGTCTCGGACCACTTTTGGAGGTTCAGATGTCGAAAAAGTGTCGAAAAAGTGCACGCCGTTGTGGCGCGAAGCACATTTCGAAGTCAAAAGTGTAAAAAACTGAGGGTTTTGAGCCTTTTTTGACGTTAAGATGTCGAAAAAGTAGACACTGATTAAGTTAACTAACTTGAGTAACTTAACTAACTTCACTAACTTAACTACCCTTACTTCGACGACAACAGCAACAGCAACAGCAACAGCAACAACAACAACAACAACAACAACAACTACTACTACTACTACTACTACAACTACACTACACAACAACTACAACCACACAACAACTACAGCTACAACTACAACAACAACAACAACAACTACAACAACAACAGCAACAACAACTACAACTACAACTACAAAACAACTACAGCTACAACTATATGACTGCAACTACACTTACACTACACTAATTACATTACACCACAACTACAACTCCACTACGCTACAACTACAACTACAGTTGCAGTACATCACACTACATCCAGCAGTTGTGGGTGAGGTGACCACTGCAACCATTGCAACCATTCCAGCAAACACAACTCCAACCCCCTTTCGGTCAATCAGTGGATTCGCTCTGCCATCCGTGATTCACAACAACCAACGTCTCCTATAGGTTTCCTATTCTGAAACTTCCGCCACCGCCTTGTGCGGTACTACTGGTAGTATATACAAGGGTATATCAAATGTTGGTATTTATACATATATATATATATATGTGTAAATCACTTCTGATGTGTGGCACAGTGATGGCACCCTTTGGTAAATTAACCTAGCTATGGAAGCCATTGCTCACAGAAAGAGATAAAACAAAGTGATTTACGAAACTTTAAAGTGGTGATGTTCCAAAGCAAACTGGTGAGATGTTGTAACAGTTCTCCTCTGGTTATACCCTCTGGAATTGAGAAAACCGGGGTAATTCATCATCAATATAATATATTTATATACATAAATATATGGGGATCCAATAGGCATATAAATGGATAAATACCTAGATAATTCACCAACAAATTTAAATGGAGGTTGACCTTTTTTTTGTTTATGGTGATTTAATTGGATTTACCAACCCTCGGGTTGTTTGACAGTCAAGTTTACTGGGATTTTCTAGGATGATAATGCTGAAGGTTTTTGAAGAACAGTTGCCTAATATTAATGAGTAATACCAGTATAATAGTAACAATACGGGGATGTATCAAAACCAATCTTGCTATAGTTGGGGGGATGAACATCCATTTACCAGTCATCTGGGGTTCACTAGGGTACCAAGGTTTTGACTCATACCCATACTAATTACTACTAGGATTATAACATGACTAATTCTTACATTGTAAGACTATAGTGACTATTTTCTTGATGATATCCTCTGGTTCTTCAACAGTTTGCTATCAAAAATGGTCATTTATAGACGTGTCATTTATTAGCTACATTTGCCTATTAAGATGGTGACGTTCCATAGCTACGTTAAACAACTAGAGGGTAACCATGCTCCAACATATTTATCAGATCAAAGGATAGCATGACACTAATTTGGTATAATACACAGTAGAACCAAATGCGCATTGGTACAATACACATTATAGCCATTTTCAAAAACAGTTATCAGGAGTTTGAGAATAGCATTATAATCATATATAAAATAGCCATATGTTATGATCACTGAATAATCATTCTATCGGATTAGAAAGGTAAATTATATGATTTATGGTAGCTCTATCGAACTAGTACTGGGGTTTGTAGTGAGTTATAAACCAACTTGGGAGTTCTTACAAACTGATGATAATAGGTACATATTTTATATCACACAACTACATATCAAAAATCATTAACTTATGAAACAGTACCACGTATCTCAAGTAGTAATAGGTAAGTTTCCTATATATTACCATATGCTCCCAACTTCTGGTATGATTTAAGGTATAAACCGACAACTATCTATCAACATCATGTGGGATATAAGATTATTAGCTGATCAGTTATTTAGCAAGTTTGGGTATCAGCTATAGGTGTTCTATCCCAAATCTCATGCAGTCATATGCAATAGTTCTAGGGTATGTATCTCAACTTATGGAACCTAAAATCCCATGATTCAGCTTATGGTAGAGTAATTCGGTCATTATCATTCATTTTCCACCTTCGCCATCTTCAACCATGAGAAAATTACGAATGATAATGGCGATACTGCTAATGATGAGAACATGTAAAATCTACTAACACCTGTTTAATATTCCTAGTAGTTATTCATGGTAGATACTTACATGTAATACTAGTTATAATAGTCTTACAATGTAAGAAGTACTCATGTTGTAATCTATTATATACTCAAGAAAATTATTACAATGTATTACAAATGACGAGATAATTCATTGTAAATGAGAAAAATTACTAACCACCTACAGTAGCGAAGGCATTATCTTTTGTATCCCTTAAAGACCATTAGTGGTTAGGTGGTTCATATCCCATACCCTCTGCTAATTTGTTACATAAACTATTGAACATGGCCATAGAAATACAGTACTTGATTTACCTTTAAAAAAATGGTGATTTTCCAGTCATTTAATAGTTTGATTTACCCATTAAAACAATGCGATTTTCCATAGTTGTTTGATGTTTTTTGTATGTTTACCAGAGGGTAATGGTATATAAATTCCATTAAATCCATATAATTTCCATTAATTCCATGTAATTTCCATTAAATCCATATAATTTCCATTAAATCCATATAATTTCCATTAAATCCATGTAATTTCCATTAAATCCATGTAAATCAACTTCCAAGTGCTTCCCATTACCATTGGTTACCATGGCCCAAGCGACCAGGGAGGTGTTGATGATGGACACCAAGGCATCCGTCATGCCTCCGGCGGCGGACACGATGGCAGCTGTGGGCACGTTCTGGCCGTTGACCTCGCAGCTGGGTGTGTTGCACGGTTTGATGTTTTATGCAATCCCCATGGGCCCCTGTCTTATGTGGAACAACATGTTCATAATCATTCTATGTATATATATATATATATGTATATATATATACATACATACATATTGATGGTTATATGGGAGATGTGATGTCGCAGCAATATACGAATGTTATGGCTTTTTGAAAAACCCCCAATGAAAAAAAAAACATGGTTGGTCCGACTAGAAATTCCCTTCCCATCTTCGTCCGCCGGTGGTCAATGGTAGGATGATCCATGTAGAACTGCTTGGTGGTTTCAACCCTGCCCCTCTGAAAAATATGAACTCAAACTCATATATGGGAAGGATTATCCATGATTATTTATGGTTAATACATGGTTATTATATGGTTAATGATGGTTAATAATAAACTGTTTGGTGGTGCAATAACCATCTTGAAAAATGATGGAGTTCGTCAATGGGAAGGATGACATCCTATATATGAAATGGAAAATAACATTCATGTTTGAAACCACCAACCAGAGAATGATCATCTACTGTGATGATCCATCTGAAACTTGGAGTGAAGATGGGCAATGTGCGAACCACTTCTTCTTCCTTCTCTTTGTATTTGGTGTTTGGTGAACCAATAAGATGAGGAGGAAACTGAGTAAACCCCCAAAATAAACAGTTCAACCTTAGCCATCCGTGATCCATGAACTAACTATATTCAGCCACATATGGTTTTTGCTGGTCCACATGCAGCTTGAGATATGCTTTTGCACCGGGCAATTGCCATGGGTTTTCAGTCGTTCATTTTGGGCCGGCCAATCCTTCATATCCAGAGATCATCGAAAGTGGCATCATTTTTTTGATGTAACCTCTGGTCAACATACAAATAACTATGAAAAATCACCATTTTCGATGGGTAAATCATGGTAAATCAACTATTTCGACTGGGCCATGTTCAATAGCTATCTTAGTTTGCCAGAGGGTAACCGTTATAGGAGCTGTAGTCCCTTACAAGTCCCTAGACACAAACTCAAACTCCATTGGAATGATGTGGACCTCCTGAGACCTTCGATTTTTCGTCGTTGCCATGACTTGGGAGTAGAATTTCTGGGAATTTCTGGTGCCCAAGTAGATCTTCCCACAAATTTTACGAGAAATTCTAGATGTAGACTTACCACCAGATATTAACCACATATATTAACCATATATTAACCACATATATATGAACCATTCTTAGATTCTAGAGCCAGACATTAAACTGATGAAATCCAGAGTTTCCCAGATCTTCGATCATTTCGATCATGTTTTGTCTCTCAGGTGGTTCCCAGGGCGTCCCACACGTGCGATCCCAGGTGCTGCATGGTTTTTGGACTCCGACAGCAAAAGATCACCACCTCGAAAGGTGATGAATCACTTGGTCGAAAGATTAATGGAGGTCTTAAAATGGATCTGGCTAAAGAATTATATTATAGTATTTATTATATATTGTTATATGATATATAATATATATACACTGGTAGGACAAAAGTTGCGCTTGTTGAGCTTCCCACAGTGAACATGGTTGGTTTCTTCTTCTGCACACCCTTTCCCCGGTAGAATCCTAGCATGGAGCTTTGCCGTACCCCGGTCGCATTTCCACCCTCCAAAAGCGTTAAAATCTTATATATTTAAAAGAGGGTGATAATTGACCGTCCCACACCTGCCACACAAAACGGACTTGAAAATGTGATCCGTGGTTGACCGAAATGGGTGTTTTGCAAAGCTTTCAAGAAGCATAAACTTTGTTCCTCCTGAAGGGTACAAAAAGCTTATTTAGTGGGAATTGCCAAGTCATTTGCTGATTTTTGCACCTGCTTCATGGGACGAATACAAAAAGCTTATTTAGTGGGAATTGCCAAGTTATTTGCTGATTTTTGCACCTGCTTCAGCTTGGCCATTACTCCACATAACATGTCTGTCTCCATCTTCTTTGTCTGCACTGCTACACATGTGCCGTGACGCACTGGTAGGACAAAAGTTGCGCTTGTTGAGCTTCCCACAGTGAACATGGTTGGTTTCTTCTTCTGCACACCCTTTCCCCGGTAGAATCCTAGCATGGAGCTTTGCCGTACCCCGGTCGCATTTCCACCCTCCAAAAGCGTTAAAATCTTATATATTTAAAAGAGGGAGATAATTGACCGTCCCACACCTGCCACACAAAACGGACTTGAAAATGTGATCCGTGGTTGACCGAAATGGGTGTTTTGTAAAGCTTTCAAGAAGCATAAACTTTGTTCCTCCTGAAGTATATATATTATTATCATTATATATTATATTATATATTATATTATATATTATATTACATATTATATTTTATTATATTACATATTATATTTTATTATATTATATATTATATTATATTTTATATTATATTATATTTTATATTATATATTATATTATTATTATATATAATCGGATTTAACCAACAACATAATGTGGATTTATTCTGGCTGAATTTTGTAACAATTCACTACCTGCTGAAAGAGGGCTATTTGGGGATGATTTCTCAATATGAACCATCATTGCAGCCACGTCACAGTGAGGTCTTTACAGTTTAACCGCATGGATGTGATGTTCACCACAAATTGGTAGTTACACCTAATTATTACTATTGGTCTGTCGAATTGATGCTTCATTTTTAAGGGGTCACTCATCTGCAAGGATATGAATATATGACAGCATGTGCGCTTAGTCAATGCACTCAAATCAAGGAAAACATATCTGTAGAATGGTTAAACTCTGGCATGATTTGGCTCCCTGATACGAAATCGGATGATTACTGCTCAACAAAGGGAAACACTTGCGGTCCAGAGGCACAAATTTGCGTTCGTCCAGGGTGACCGTGATATGATCCAAAAACCACAAAGTTATTCAAAATTGCACAAATTGTGTTGATAGTCGAATTATACTTCGGTAATCATCTATGTAAATGTAGAATCTTCCCTTGCCATGTTTGATTACCCAAGGGTACTGTATATAATATGATTTGTGCTCGTTACATGGCCACAACATTGGAGTGCTTCAGCAGTCTAAGAAAAATATAATGGGGTGATTTCCCCAGCTGTCCCAGGCACAAGTCTTGTAAAGTTCTGCATCGTTCAAGGATGCCCCTCCGAACCTCAGTTGGTCGAAAAAATGGGTGGATAAACGACACAAAACAGAGCCAAACAATGCATCTTTTTGAGACCAGCAAGTCGAAGGTTGCAGTAACTAAGCATGTGTTTCTATATGATGTCATCTTTACATGTCTTGGATGTTGGCATTTAGCTTGTAGTGCAGTGCCCAAAGGGTGCCAATCTTTCAGGAATTTTGTCTTTGGGTATGCAAACTCCTTGCAACAAACAACTTGAATTTCAAACATAGCCCAAATTTGTCAAACATCATCATATTATAACTCCAAGCACATTCTGAACCAGGTGGTGTGTTTGCAATTTTGTGCCCATGCGAAACACATCGAAACACCATTCTAGTAAAATTAGAACCGGACTAATCGTTGCAGGTAGAGACGATCAGAAAGTAACGAACAAAATATGGTGCAAAGCCATGGTCAATCTTCGGTAGTCAGGAAAAAGTGTTATCTTTTGCTGGCTCCGGTTATTTTCCATTTATAGAATTTAAAGAAACACATCAAACATGAGTTTCTACCTATCCATTTCAAACAAAAATCGAAAGGATGAAACATGATTCAACATGATTCAACTACCTGTCCAATCGTGGATGAATCATCACCAAATACAGGCCAAGTTGGTCGAGCCATTAGGCCCATCGTCTTTCGAATCCAGAAATATCCACACATGAACGATTATCATCGATGATGTCATACGTATAGTTTAAACATAATAAATAACACCACAACAAATAAAACCACAACACATAATTTGATAATAATGAATAATATTAAAAAAACAAATAATAAATCCACAACAACACACAAACCCCAGGTTGATTTGATAGAGATTCAAATCTGCGAATACAACAGGCCAACAGGGTTGAAAAAACTGTCCAGTGCACCGTGTTTGAACAGTATGTTCATCATATATCATCATATGGGATCGTCATCTCAAATGGGGTCAACAAAAAGGCCAACAATCATTGAAGGTGTATTTACCCAGGTCATCAATCTGATGCTATTATACATAGGGTTTTACTGCAGGAGTCTAAAGGCCCACAAACCGTTCTGTTTGGAATGGCTCCTGCATTTTGCCAGGCAACTTGTGGACGCCCCACTTGAGTCCATATTTCTTCCAAGCCTGTGCGTGGGATGCGCAGGACACGTTGGATCGGTGATTTTGGATCCAGTTTGAGGAAACTTAGTCAGGAATGCTTTGACAAAGCTGTCAAACCGCAAGGTGCAAATTATAAACTAACAGTTCGATGTGGAAAACTCACCAATTGTAGATGAATTTCCTAAGTAGCCATGGATTTTCCACATTTTTTTGTATGTTTAGCCCAGGATCATATTCAACAAACTTAACGAGGCAGGTCGGTCGTTGCTGCTCTGGTCGAGCCACGCGCTCGTTGATTCCCAATGGGTGTTGGTAAAACACATGGGAAAATGGTTTGGATCCCAAACTTTCAAAACTGCAGTATGCAAGGATGTGACTGGCGTGGACAACAGTGACCCATGACAATCAAATAGAAAACACACGGGTGAATCTACCGATGTATATATATATATATATACATACATATACATACATGTATACATACAATACATATATATATATACATATACATATACATCTACATATCCATATACATATACATATATACACACATATATATATATATATATTTACATATACATATACTTATACATCTACATATCCATATACATATACACATACATATACATATACTTATACATATGTGTATATATATATGTGTATATACATATAAATGTACATATATACATGTGTATATATATATATATATTTACGTACATATATATATATATATGTGTATATACATATATACATGTACATATATACATATGTACGTATATATATATATGTGTGTGTGTAAATGTATTTATTTATATATGCATTAAAATGCATGTGCATATATATATATGTACAAATATGTATATGTATATGTATATGTATATATGTTTATGTATACATGTATATGTATATATGTATATGTATATATGTATATGTAAATATGTATATGTATACATGTATATGTATATATGTATATGTATATATTTCTACATGTCACCATTTTAGTTCCGCACGCTGATTGCCTAGTTGAAACTTAAAACAGCCAACAGGTCCTGATAACGAGCTGTCAAGGCAAACACTCGCCTTGCCATGCCTTACCCAGCTGTCAGCCACCATTTTTGTGGGATAGTATGCTACTGTATCATGTTCAGTTTCACTATCATTGTCATTCTTACTAGTATTAACATAGTGGTATCAACCTATAGTTGGTATTAATATGGTTCATTAACTAACTGTATCGCTTTCATCAACATCATCATCATCATCATCATCATCATCATCATCACCCTCCTCAGAAGCCCAAGCTAGGAAGGGCATCCACCTCCTCCTCTTTCACCACCTTCCTGGGGTCCTGGAAGGGAGTCTTCCGTTTTCTTGGTCTTTTGGTCTTCAGGACAATGACATCATCCTTTTGCTCCTCAGCCTCCTTCTTCTTTGCTGCCTTCCTGCCAACTGGGTGGCTATTGCCAGATCCTGCTGATCTGAAGGTGTATCTGTTCACCTTCCCCGTGGCTGGGTCTTTTCTGAAGTTGGCTGGCTTGCGCTCAGGTCCTGCAAGGATGCTTGCGTTCGGAGTTGTTCCCTGAGAGGATTTGCCTCCAGCTTGTACAGCATCTCCAGCATCTTCTTTTGCCAGCCAGTTGAAGGGGGCCGTCTTTTTTGGCTTCAGCTGCTGGGGGGCAGCTGCCCCACCAGCCACCAAGCCCCTGCAGCTGTCTCCTCTGGCTCCTCACCTGCTTCTGGTGCCTTCGAAAGGCCTTCTTCTGCCTCAGCCTAACTTACCTTTCATATGTTGATTGCTATTTACAAGGAGTGTAATTCTTACATCTCTCCGGTCCATCAACATTTGGAGTCTAACTCATCCGCGAACTATGGAAAATTACCCATTTATACTTGATTCACCCATGAAAAATTGTGATTTTCCATAGTTTTTATGTGGTTCTGGACAAATTCTCCCGGCAGTCCGCCTGCTCTGTCGTCTTCGTCTCTGGCGGTGCCTCCGTGGCCACCGATCGACGCTGGCCCCGAAACGACGGCCGCGCGGATCTCCGCGCCACGGATCCACGTGATCTCCGCGCCACACGGCGGCGGACTGCTCCACAGGCCGCCACAGTGCCTGAAATCGGCAGCACCAGGACGATTTGTGTCATGGAAAAAATGGATCTCGACGTTGTTATAATATGTCAAGTAACTATTATATGTAAGTAACTATATGTTAAGTAACTATATGTTAAAACATGGAAAATATGTTAAGTAACGTGCTATGAAATGT